TGTGATCTTTTATTAGTGACTGAAGTATTTTGTAGCCTCTCCTGATTTATACCAAAATGAACACAAAAACCTACTTCATAGTATTTTAAGGACTGAACTTTTTATTATAATTTCACTGCTATTGGAGAAGACCGAATTCTGGATTTTTCCTTTCTATTAATTTTCCTTACGTCTTGCCTCAAAAAATGGCAGTTTATCTTAACAAATCTAGTTTACCTACCCAAATTCTTTACTATTAACACATTACAAAAAAAAAAAAAAAAGCTTGGAGGAGAACAAGGATGAGTATGAATAGTAAAAATATAATTAAATTGTTCCCCCTTTTCATACTGTGTTCAAAGCATTTTTTTTTCCCCACTTGGTAATTCATCCTGTAGAAGTTAATCAGCAAACTTTCATTTCTAGATCTCACCTACTTAGAATCTTATTTCTATTAAAATAAAAATTAGAATTTCATGTGCTCTCTTCTATTCCCTACTAAAATGTTAAATGTAGCAGAATATTTGTTTTCTTTCAAAGTGCTCTAATTTTATGAGCCAGTCATTTAAATAAGTCTGAAAGAACATAGTTTATTCGTGTGAGTAGATTTTCATTATGACTTTGAGTGTGTGTATCAATTCTAGAGTATCAGTCTAGGATATTATATTTTTTGCTAGCTTTAAGGATATACACTGAGTAGTAAAATTCTGGTTGGTAATAACAGAAAAAGTGTTAAACTATTACATTTTTGTGTTCTAATCTTTCAAAATGATGTTTCTTTGCGGTTCATCAGATGAAAAATTGATTTTTTTAAATATACTACAGCATATAGGTAAAGCATCAGCATGTTTTAATATTAACAAAGATTATAAGTTCAATTCAGTATATAGTTATCAAATTTCTAACCATTTTATTTGTTATTCGGTATTATGTAAAATATACATTTATATGTTAAGTTGAGACTTTTGATTTTGAAGATTTTGGGAAATTTGGTAGTACATTTGAAAATGATCACTGGTCTTAAGGAAAGAACATTTGCTGTTCAAAAAGCTACCATTGTTGGAAAAATAACTCAAATTTATTGCAACTACAAAGATAAAAAAAAAATCACAATCTTTTGATTATTTTGCTTCTCACCTCCAAGTTTCTAAAATTTTGTATGGTATTGCGTTAAACTGAGGGGGAGAAATACCTTTTCCACCTCACTTTTGTCATATATATATGATAAAGTTTTGACTCTTCATATTATATGTCAGAAGATCTTGAGTGCTTTCACGTGCAGATAGTACCATGCTAGGCACTTTTGTGAAAGAAATTGATAGGGTTTCTATCCTCAAGGAGTTTAAAACCTATTGAGGAAGACAGAGCCTGCAGATGAGAACAATTACAAAGAGTAAGTATAAGATAACACAGTAGACATTGAATATTATACATTCTGAAAATAGATTTGGAATAGAGTTGGTGATTACAGTACAGTGGAGTTATTCATCTGAGGCCTTCTGGGAAAATCCCATTTAATAATTAAAAACACTTTAAAATATTATATTTAGTAACTTATTAAGTGCTCTGGAGAATTTCTAAGAAAGTAAACAGAGCTCTTGCCTTGCAGAACATTAAAATAAAATACTAATTCCTTTTCTTTCTGACCTTATCTGTGTTTTGATTACAATAGTTGTTGCCACCAGTAAATTGGATATATTTTGTATTTTCTCTTTATTAATTTTTCTACTAAACTGGAAGTACACATTTGATTTAAATAGACTGATGAAAGTTTAGCATAACTTTTTTAGAATACAAATTAAGATTTGTGATTTAGATACTTTAATCTAAATTTTACTTTCTCTGAGAGTTAAAATAAAAATTCTCTTACCACCCCACCTCCTAGGCTAGGAGACATTTATCTAGCAGTCTATCTAATGAAAGCGCAGAGTTTCACTGGAGATAAATCGTACAGATAAAATCAGGCCTTCAAATAAGTAATTTTGTAAACACTTCAGCCTACCACTAGATTAGTGTTTCACTCATTTTATAATTTATCTATCCAAGCAGGAATTAGTAAAAAACAGTTGGACTAAAAGGGTTAGTGTTGCATCTCACTCTAGCTAAAAAATGCATAATCTCAATCCAATTATGAGAAAACATCAGATAAATTCAAATTGAGGGACAGTGTACAATATAACTAACCAGAACTCTTCAAAGGTGTCAAGGTCATAATTAACTAGATGGGGAGAATCCTTTCACAACATATAAGTACCTCATCACCACAATGTACACTTTAAATAGTTAAATATTTGTCTTTTATCCATTAGTAAAGCTGAATTTTTTTTAAGTGTCAAAGTCATGAAAGACAAGGAAAGATTGTGGAATTTGTCACAGTTTAAAGGAAACTAAGGAAACATGACAGCAGTGGTACCCGGGTTGGATCCTAAAACAAAAAAATATTAGTAAGAAAACTGGAGAAATCTGAATAAAGTCTATATTTTAGTTGATAGTATTGTACTAATGTAAATTTCTAGTTTTGACAGTTGTACTATAATTATGCTAACATTAGGGGAAGCTGGATGAAAGATACATATTAACTCTATACTATTTTTACAACTTTCTGTAAGTCTAAAATTTTAATATTAGAGGAATTAAAATAGTAAAAACTATTTAATTAACTCAGAAGAAACTGAGAAAGGAGAAACAAACAAAATACAGATAAGACCCAGAAAAAGTAAATGGGAAATGGTAGACCTAAATTCATTCACATCGAGAACTACAGTAAATACGTATAAGTGAACTAACACTCCCATTAAAAGGCAGAGATTGACAAATTTGTTAGGAATAAAGGACCCAAATATATGCTGTCTACATGAGTCACACTGTTAATAGAAATGTCACAGATGTGTTGAAAGTTAAAAAATGGACTTTTTACTGTTCAAGCTGATTGAGTGCTATGACAGCACAGGTGCTGGTAAATCTGTAAGGATTTACAACTTTTAGCAATTTGGCATGTAAAGTGCATATTTCTATCACTGTTGCTGGGCAAAGATATCCCAAACTGTCATTATAGAATTTTAGACATCAAAAAGACTGGGGCAGGAGAGAAGCAGGGAGAAGGATTAGAGGATTGTTACCTTCTAGCTTTTAGCTATTATTTAATTTTTATAAATTTATCTAACTTAATTTCTCTGAGATCCAAGAAGATTGCCAGAAGTTCACTCATTATAGTTGGCAGATTTGAGATGTGAAAGCCTACCTCTAAAGTTCAGTTTATCCAGACTACCTAAAAGGAAAAGTTATTGATTTATTCCATTCTAAGGTTCAGTATGTCATCCACAACCCTGTTTTGGATACTCTCTTGCTTTTAGAATTATATGTTGAAGAAAGTTTCTTTAAGAGATGAATTATAGTAAGAATATTTATTGAAAATACTATATTTTAGTACTTTAAATCATTTTCATTGCTCTGTAAGACTTTAGTATATATTAAAAATTTCTTAAGCATTAGCATCTTAATAATTTAGCATTTTCAATTGTATTTTGAGTTTATGTATACTTTTGCTAACACTGCATAAGAATTCCTAACTAAAACTTTGTTTTAGAAAAAAAAAGTAATGCTTGTTGGCACTTGAATTTCCTTAAACATTGATCCCAGTTTGGAGTGATAGTAAGCCCTTTTTGTTTCTACTACACTTACGGTGGTGCACCTAATTCTGTGCTTTGGGTTGAAGAAATTAAGTTCTAACTATGCTAACAAGATGTTGTAACAAATAGAGCAAATGACTTTCGAGTGAAAATGAGAATTAAATTTGACAAGAAAGTAAAGAACCATGTATATTTAATTTTGTAAAAATGTTTTAAATAAACATGCTTTTCTGTTTTTAGTATATTGGGCTGTTTGGGGTTTTTTAATCTCTGAATTTTTCTATGCTTTAGAAAGGAAAGCCTTTTGTTTTTATATTTTGACCAGCTATCTGAAAGCACTTGCATAGTTTCAAAGTGTGGTCCAGTGTTCCATATGTTTCCCATTAGTTCTCTTTTAGCAAATATGGAATTGGTTCCCCTTCGTTTTACTAGTAGATTTAGAAAATCTACATTTTATTTCTTCGAGTAACAAAGTCTCAAATTTAGGCCATTTTGATCTACTTGGATATGTTAGCTTTCCCCTAATAGAATCTTTGTTTAAAAATGTTTCTTGCAAGTGGTACATCTACTCAGTAACTGACCTGAAGGCACATGAACAAGGAAACATTTTCAGTGAGGAAAATTGTTTCAGTTGTCATTTTCCATCCCTCTGTGACAATGAAATGTTTTTATAGTGCTTATGTTACAACCCAGTTTTTAATCCTAGTCTATAGTTTTTTTATAGCCATTTAATTTCATATAGTTTTACATAGTTATTAGGTGCCTTGTAGCATTTCTCTGTTACCTTGTTTGCACAAATCTTTAAGTATACTTTATCCATATATACAGCAGATTTTTATATGTCTAATACTATACAACAAGAATGAAATATTTTCATATTTGAGCGGTATTTAACCTTTGTTACATTAATTAGAAGAGAGTGAAGATGAAAATCAAACGTATTAGAACAAATTTGAACTAAATCATAGAAGTCCTGTAGTTCATTTACTGAACTGTTAAGAAACTGATTTGTAAGGTTCAAGATCAAGTGAATTTTAAAACAATTGCTTGCTTAAATATATAAAGAAATTTATTGATGCATAGCTGGCAATATTTGACAGGGAAAATGTCGACTTAAGGTTATCTACTGATTTGCCAAATATCAAGTCTTTGTCTAGCTTTACTCAGTATTGTCTGTTCCATGCTTACAAGATGTCACAGCATATATTTTTACTAATGACCTTTTTTTATTATTCTGTCACTATTAAATCTTTCATTATTGTATCATTAATAATAAAGGTAGAGCTTCCAATTTGATTTTAAAGTTTCATTTTTAAAAGTCTTTTAATAACTTGAACAGAGTTGTGCAAAAGATATTTTGTTTCTGTGAGAATGCTCCATGATACTTCAGTAATGGAAAGCATCTAGTGGAATGTATACTGTGGTATATTCTCAGGAAAGCTGCATTCAGTATTTAAAAGGTTATTTATTGCATTGCACATCAGCTGTTGGCTATATCATTGTCACAAATTTGGTGAGAGTAAATAACCTTAGTACTGTAAAGATGGGGTTTATAAATCTCATGCACATATAAAAATGCCATGTTCTATTTTTTTATTCTATCTATGCAAAAACGTTAAAAATGGTGATTGCATACTTGTCTTTGACAAATTTAGATATCATTTGCCTTTTTTTCAGTAAAAGTAGAGCATATATTTGATAAACATTAATGTTTTGCTTCACTGATTTTAAATTAGAAATTGTATAAATAAAGCATTTAGAATAATGTTTGTCAAATACAACTCATTTTTTAAAGTTATTACAACAAAAAGGCAAAGTAGCAAACCTCATTTAAAATTTACTTTGAAGCTCAGTTTTTTTGCTTCCTTAGTTGTCTACCACCTCCCTCCCTTCTCCCTCCCTTCTCTGTTCAAATGGAGAGGATTTAAGGAGAGTACAGATGCAGCAGGTCTTAAACGAAAGCGTTCCCAAGGTACAGTAATTGTAGTTTTATTTCTCCATGTAGTCATATTCCCGGCTTATAGAATTTAGTTGTAGTTAGAGCATTCAGTTGTATTTAAAGCATAGAAATTATTAGTATTAGTGTTTAAAGCATAGAAAGGTATCCATTGTGCTATTTTATTTTTGTGTTACTTAATTATAAATGGCATAAACATTTGTAAATGATGTGTATAGTCCAGTAATGGGATGTTTACCAGTAGTAAGATGTTATACTTTAAGACAGTATGTGGATTATTTAAGGAGGACTGAAATGTTGGCTTAACACTGTTCTCTTAATATCTTGATCTTGTAGTTTCAGTGTTCTAACCATATGTTGTTCAAAACTATTTTAACATAAATGTGGTTTAGAAACATTACATAAAAAGGCTTAACGTATTGAATTGGATTGAACATAGAAAAGCAAATAATTGTTAAATTTATGCAAAAGATTTTTTAATTTATGAAAAGTTCTTTTATTTAAAAAGCTGAGTTTGTACATTTTCTTTGGAACAGAAGATATTGTTTGTTATGTTAATTGTATCTTGTCTTGTATTCAGTGTTAGTAATGTGTCCTGGCAGGTGAGTAAAATATAAATTGGTTTTTCATAAATTTTTGAAATCACATTTGTAACATAACTAATAAGTACATTTTCCTGGAAAGGATTTACTTTTCTATGTACTCTAGTAAGAAATAGATTTTCATAAAAAATGTCTTAGGATCTTAGATCTTGACCAAGGCTATATAGTATCCTTTCTTGTCTAACTTGAGGTTATTTTCAACCCATCTTCAAATCAGAAGAGTTAGACTCTGCCAGTAACAAGCTCTGTGTCAAGTCACTTAATCTTTCTGTACTTCTGTGTCTTTATATATAATGGGAGATAATATTTTGCTTAAAGAGGATTTTAAGAAATAAAATCAAGCATAATGATTTGAAAGTGCCTTGGTTTTATGAAGATGGGTATGTGAATTTTTCTTACCTCTGTATCAGAGATAGAGAGGAAAAGTTTAAGTTCTTCATAAGAATTATCAAATTATGAATTGGTGGACATGATATGACAATTTTTTTGGTCCATTGCTGTCACAAGCATTACTAAATTTGTGATCGTGTCAGGCACTGTGCCAGGAAACTGTGTTTGGTGCTAGTGATTCGAAATTATCAATACATAGTCCTTGCCTCACAGAGCTTATGTATTTCTGGAGCATATAGGTTTGATTTTTTTTTTCTTTTTGGAGCTCATTTTCACCAAGCATACCTCTGTTACAGAAGTACAATAATCATACTGATTTGAACATAATATTAGAAAAAGTTATTTGATTTCTTATTAAAACATCTTTCATCTTTGGATTTCTGTTATGGTGAGCAATATCGAGCGATAATTGGCTATAACAATCCATTCCAAAAATACTTTATAGTCTAATGAAGTAGATTATTCTCTTCTTAGTTTAAAGGTAAACTTTTTTCCCCCTCTGAGACTTGTTTTTGTTTTGTACTGAGTGAAATTTTCACAGATCCAAAAATAAAATCAACAGAAGAAATGGAATTTAAGTTTCTCTGTCAAAGCTATTTAGGACTTTCATGAAGATGTATATCTCTTAAACCTGAAGAATGGTCATATCACCTTGAAAGCCGTTCTTTAATCATCAAAATGTATTAACTCTGTGTTAGATGTTAAAATTATGGCCCTTAAGCCAGTTATTCCATGTTGTTCTAACACCTTGCCATTCCTTATAACATGGTTGATCTTTTATAAAGTTCTTGCCATTACTTGCTTCACCTCAGTGCGTGTTTCAATGAAATAGTTTTTTTACTTAACTGAGTTTGAACATCGATTCAAAAACCTGTGTATTATAATTTTTCACACAAATAAAGTTAGTCTTGGAGACCTTAAAAATTAGTTTTTCTTTTTGCAACAGCTGTTCATAGTTTCAAGTTGAGTCGAAACCATGTGGACTGGCACAGTGTGGATGAAGTATATCTTTATAGTGACGCAACAACATCTAAGATTGCAAGAACAGTTACCCAAAAACTAGGATTTTCTAAAGGTAATTGTTAAATATTACTGTTGTTTGTCAAAATTTGGAGAATCTCAATTTTTCTCTTATGTTCAGAATAGACTATTCAAGTTCTATTTTTAGTATATTTTAAATATGTATTAAATTTAGTGATGGTTACTGGTCTGCTAGGTGAAACTTTTATTAAGGTGATTGAGTTGACATGCATTCATCAGTGAATAATTATATATTTAGAATGATCTGATAGGATTAATAAATATCTTTTATACTTCAGAAAGCATAAGAGCAATCAAACCAGAGACAGTTGTGTGAAAATAAAACATAGCCATTGAAACATAGTATCAAAGAAAATGGAGACTGAAAATTTTCCATTGGATTTAGTGAAATTAAGTCATTGGTGACTTAGATCGATTGATGGGACAGAAGCCAGATTGGCATGTATTGAAGCTTATGTACGAGATGAAGAAATGGAAGCAGGGTTAATAGACAGCTCTTTAAAGAAGTTTGACTGAAAGAAAGAAAAGACTGAATGGAAGATGTGAGAGCAATGTCAAAAAATAAATTTAAAAAAATTTTCTGTCAAGTCTGATATAATTTTTTATTATCCATTTTTATTTTAATTTCTTTGATAAGAGATATCCTTGAATATCTTTATATTTTTAATAGTCAATTGTATTTGCTTTGTGAATTACCTTATATCGTTAGCCCATTTTGCTATTTGAATGGTTGTGTTTTCACTCTTTGGTAAGCTCTCTTTGTATATTCAGGTAATTAACTTATGGTACGTCATATTTTGTAAAATTTTTCCCAGTTGTCATCTTTTATTTTTGTTTTATGGTACTTTTTCTCAAAGTTTAAAATTTTTATGTACTCAATTTGTTCTTCTTTCCTTCCTTCCTTCTCTTTTTTTTTCTTTTTTTTTAATGGTTTCTGGCTTTGGTGTCCTGTCCAATTTAACACTTTCTATCAGAGCCAATCAATAACATCATCTTACAAATTTTATCCCTTCCCAACCCAGCAGAATTTTTTTATACTATTTCCTTTTCTTCTTTTTTAAATATATTGTGAAAATGCTGTTTCTGGAATAAATAGTGAACTTAGAATTATATTTTGTCTACAGCATCAAGTAGTGGGACCAGACTTCATAGAGGTTATGTAGAAGAAGCCACATTAGAGGACAAGCCATCACAGACTACGCATATTGTATTTGTTGTCCATGGCATTGGGCAGAAGATGGACCAAGGAAGAATTATCAAAAATACAGCCATGTGAGTTCTTTGATGAATACATTCCCCAACTACTGTAGAATCCAAACTCCAGTCCTCACTATCTTCTTTCATCTTTCCTTTCCTTCTTCTTCTATTTTTAAGAATCACTCCAGATGATTACAACCAAATGATTTAGTAGACATACCTTTTTGCCAAAATCAGAGTCTACATGTGTAACCACTTGAGAACTATGATAGTGATTCTTAGAGTGTAGGATTGTGTAAGTTTTGTGTATAAAAGGACAGTATTTTAAGCAAATGTAGTATTTCTTAGTTTGTAAGTCAAAATGGGTTCCTCAATGTCATCACTGTTAACATTTTTGACCATATAATTCTCTGTTATGGGTGGCTGACCTATGCACTGTAAGATATTTAGCAGCAGCATCCCTGACCTCTACCCACTATATGCAAACAGAATCCCTAATTGTGACAACCAAAAAAATATCTCCAGACATTGCCAAGTGTCTCCTGGAGGAAAAAATTACCCATGGTTGAGAATCACTAATTTAAATGAACTTTTTTTTTTTTTTTTTTTTTTGGTAAATTCAGATGGCAACACACACCACGTCATAACTATTATATCATAATGAAATATATGAGAACTGTATAGCCATCAAACGAGTAAAATAATATTAGAATCTTAAAATAGATTCTTTCTTGTATACACTCATACCTTTTAAAACTGAACATTTGAAAAGATGACAAACTTATAAAATGTGTCTGTAACCATTACTTGAGTATCTGCTATATAAAAAAAAAAAAAAAGGAACTTTTAGACTATGTGGGTATTAAAATAGATTCTGCCCTCAAGTCTAAAGTTTTGGCTAATATCTTTATGATGATAAGGGAAGCGATTTACTTTATAACAACCTAGAATGTACATAGAACTTTTAAAATGGCAACTTTAGGGATATATAATCAAAATATTACAGTTGACCCTTGAACAACATGGGATTAGGAGTTCTGACCTCCCTTGCAGTCAAAAATCCACATTTAATACAGTCAACCATCCACATATGAAGGTTCCCAATCTCCAGTTGACCCTTGAACAACACAGGTTTGAACTGTGATTAATTATAAAACATTTGCATATAAGTGGAGCTGAGCAGTTCAAACCTGTATTGTTCAAGGGTCAACTGTATTATATTAAATATATAAGAAATGGAGAAAGATAGACTTTTTAACAAACAATATTGGGTTAACTAGATAACCATATGGATAAAAATAAAATTGGGTCCATTTCTCACACTAAGATAAATTTCAGTTGGATCACATTTAAACATTAGAAATGAAACCATACAAGTACTATGGATTTAAAAGGTAGAGTTGAGGGGAGTTTGAATTCTTGTATACCCTTAGGAGTAGAAAAAGCTATCCAATGACTTGATCCAGAAACAGTAAGAAAAAATATAGATAAATATTATATCATCCCAAAAAAGCCATATGGCAATAAAATAAGACAAACTGAGAGAAAACATGTGCACTTTATATCACAGATAAACTGTTAGTATTCTTAATATATAAAGAACTTCTAAAAATAAAGAGCAAAATGTCTGACTACTTTACAGGGCTAAAGATGTGACAGCCATTTCCCAGGAAAGGAAATGCTCAACCATGCTCATAAAATATATATTAAAATTACATTAAGATGTCATTTCTTAACTATTAGATTATCTAAAACCAAAAATTTGACAGTATACTCTTTTGGCCAGGCTATAGATAACAGACATTCTCATACTGCTGGTGGAAAGCAATGAAGGAGAGAGAATGTTGTAATATCTATCAAAATTATATATGCATTTATTCTTTGGCCCAGCAAACTTACTTCTGAATCAAGGATAATATAAGCAAAAATACAGAAAGTTGTATGCCCAAGGCTATTAATTGCAGTAGGAAACTACCCAAATGTTTAACAGCAAGAGACTGGTTGATAAACTACAGCTGTTTATATAATGGAAAACTATGAAGTTTTAAAACAATGAGGAAGATCTCTGCTTATTTCTGTTCTTTGAAAAGATCCACAAAAGTGAGAAACCTTTAGTTAAGACTGACCAAGAATAAAAAGAGAAGATTCGAATTACTAAAATTAGGAATGAAAGAGGCCATTACTACTGACCTTACAGAAATCAAAAGGATTAAATGGAATACTATGCACAATTCTATGCCAACAGATTAGATGACCTAGATAAAATGGACAAATTCCAGAAAGACTCAAACAACCAAACTGATATATGGTAATCAGTAAGAAGTAGTAGAAAATCCAAATCAACCTCTAACAAGTAAAACTTCCTTCCAAAAAAAAAAAAAGCCTAAGACCAGATGGCTTCATTGTGAATTCTACAAAACATTAAAAGAAAAATTAGCACCAATTCTTCATAAATTCTCCAAAAAATAGAAGGAAGAAGACTTCCCAACTTACCTGTTTAGCAGGTGTTACCCTGATATTAAAATGAGATAAAGACATCATAAGGGGGGAAAAAAGCTATAGACCAATATTCCTATGAATAAAAATCAATACTACTTATGGACACAAAAATCCTCAACAAAACTGGCTACAGCAACATATAAAGAAGATTATACACTATGACCAAGTGAGATTTATCCCAAGAATACAAGGTTGCTTCAATACTTAGAATCAATCAAGGATACTATACTGTAGTAATAGAACAAAAAAGGAAAAAAAAAATATCGTCTTGATGCAGAAAAATCTATCACACTTTCACAATGAAAGCACTCAAGAAACTATAAATAGAAGGGAATTTCCTTAACTTGACAGAGGGCAAGCGCACAGCTAAAATTATAGTTTAGCAACAAAAGACTGAGAGCTTTCTCTCAAGATCAGGAACAAAGCAAAGGTGTCTTCTCCCACTGCTTCTGTGCAACAATTGAATATAGGTTTCAGCCAGGACAATTAGGTAAGAAAAAGAAATAAAAGACATTCAGATTAGAAAGGAAAATATAAAACTATTTTGCTTACAGCTGACATGATCTTATAAACAGAAAATTCTAAGGAATACACACACACACACACTTAGGGCTAATGAACTCAGCAAAGTTACAGGATACAAGATCAATATACAAAAGTCAACATTCTATAGACACTAGCAATGAACAATCTGAAAATTAAGAAAGCATTTCCACTTACTATAGCATCAAAGAGAATAAAATACTTAGGAATAAGTTTAACAAAAGAAGTGCAAGATTTGCACACTGAAAACTATTATATGCCATTGAAAGAAAGTAAAGAAGACCTAAATTAATGGAAAAGACCCATGATTGTGGATTAGAAGACTTAATGTTGTTAAGATAATAGTATTTCCCAAATCGATCTACAAATTCACCACACTCCCTATTAAAATCCCACCTGTCTTTTTTGCACAGATTGACAATCTGATCCTAAAATTTTCATGGAAATGCAAGGGACACAGAATAGCCAAACTATTTTGAAAAAGAACAAAGATGGAAAACTAACATTTCCCAGTTTCTTAACTTGCTGCAGAACTACAGTAATCAAGACATTGTGGTACTGGCTGGTGTGCAGATAAACATAGATCAATAGAGTAGAATTGAGAGTTCAACTGATTTTCGTCAAGAGTACCAAAACAATTCAATGAGGAAAGAATAGCCTTTTAGTAAATTTTAGCTGGGACACCTGGATATTCACATGCAAAAGAATCAAGTTAAACCCCTACCTCACACCATTTACAGAAATTCAAAATCAATCAAAGACCTAAATAAAAGAGCTAAAACATAAAACTGTTAAAACTTAGGAGTAAATCTTCATGACTTGGAATAGGCAGTGGTTTCTGAGATATGACATCAAAAGTAGAAACCATGAAAGAAAAAATAGATATATGGGACTTTGTCAAGATTTAAAACTATGTTCTTCACAGGATACTATCAAGAAGGTGAAGACAATCTACAGAATGGTAGATTGCAAATTAAATATTTGATAAGGATCTAGCATCTAGGATATATAAAGAACTCTAACAATTCAACAGTAAAAAAGAAATAACCTAATTTTTTAAATGGGTAAAGGATTTAAATAAACATTTGTCCAAATAAAATATACGAATGGCTCATAAGCAAATTAAAAGATGCTCAATATCATTAGTCAATAGGGAGATGCAATTCAAATCCACAAAGAGATACCACTTCATACCCCCTGGGATGACTCATCAAAAAGATGGAAAACAGCAGGTTTTAGCAAGGTTGTGGAAATATAACCCTCATATGTTGCTTGATGGGATTATAAAATAGTACAGCTGCTTTAGAAAATAGTTTGACACGTCCTCAAAAGTTAAATGTAGAAGTAGCATAGCCATTCCACCTCTAGGTCTATAGCCAAGAAAATCGAAAACATCTACACAAAAACTTGTTAAAGAATATTCATAGCAGCATTATTCATAACAGCCCCCAAAATGGAAACAATCTGAATGTCCATCAGCTGATGAATGGATAAACAAAATGACATATTCATACAATGGAATATTATTTAATCATGAAAAACAACGAAGTACTGATTCATGGTACAACATGGTTGAATCTTAAAACAGTATGCTAAATGAAAGAAGCCAGACACAAAAGGCCACATATTGTATGATTCCATTTATATGAAATATCCAGAAGAGGCAAATTCATAGAGACAGAAAGTAGGTTCATGGTTGCCAAGGCTTGGGGGGAAGAAGTATGGGAAGCAACTGCTATGTGTATGGTGTTTCTTTTGGGGGTGATGAAAGTGTCCTGAAATTAGATAGTGATGGTTGTATAACTCTGTGAATATGCTCAAAGCTAATGAATTGTTTAAAAAGAAACACAGCCAGTGAGGTTGTGTCAAAAATACGCAGAAGCCAACTTGAAGAGACTCAGTGACCAAAGAAAGAACAATTTGAGCATCAGTAAGGATAATAGTTACAGTGGGTTTAAACACTTCAGATATTTTTAAATCTATGAGTTAGTAATGATGTCAAAAAACATAATACCTAGCAACTCAGTATTTTTGAAGATTGTTAATAAAAGGGAAGAATTATCCATTTAGCTTGCCTTTTCTCAGAAACTATTTGGTTGTACCACAAAGCAGCCAAATACTTGATGTGAGGAAATTTCTTTTTTTAGAAGTATGAGAGGTAATGACATTTAAGCACCTTTTTGCAACCATTATAACCTAATAGATATTCAGTGATCATCATAACTGCTAGCGTCACCAAAAAAGAGACAAAACTGCATATATTTACCTATGGCATAGTAGTCTTGCCAAAACAGTAGAACTTGAATCTGATAAAACCCCTATATCTTACTATCAGATTACAGGAGATAGGAGACAAAGAACATGTTAAATAACACCATGGGGATACAGTCATTAAAAATTAGACTCTGAGAAACTCTGCAGGATGAAAAAAAAAATTACAAAGCTAAAAAGAGAGGAACCTATAGAATAAGACACTTAGGGACACATCTACCAATTACCATGCATGGACTATAGTTGGAGCTCAATTCAAACAAGTGTAAAAAAATAGTTTCAATATTATTATAAACTAACATTTATAATCTAACTGGGGGAAAGGGACCACTGAACTATATATTTGCAGAAATTAAAGAATTATTAATTTTTTTGGTATAATACTGAATAGGTTATATTTTCCTTAAATTTTAGAAACATATACTAAACTACAGATGAAATAATGTGATGTCTGGGATTTGCTTTAAAGAATTATGGGGAAAAGTTGCTACTATAAAGGGAAGGCATGATGGAATATGGGGGCATGATAGAATTAATCTGTATCTTGACTGTGGTGGTGCTATTCATGAGATTAGCAGACATTTGGTCCTGTCCAAAACATCCATGGAGCCTTTTGGCCTACACCAACCCATGTGCCATGACCAGCTAGGCTACCAAGGCAAAAGAGTTATTATTGGTAATACAACCATAACAATGTTACTGGACCAATAAAACATGAGAGTATCTTTTATGTATTAATCCTATAAACCAAAAGTATAGATAAATGTTACGGGCTGTTTAAACCCAGCAACACTTTTTTTAAGCATGGACATTTTAGACAGGACCAAATATGAAGGACCATTTGGCATGGTCTAAATATACTTCGAAATGAAAGTGTCTTAATATTGCTACCTATTGCATTGTGTACTGTTAAAAGAAACATAATTGGATGAAGTTATAAGCAAGTGGAAATGTTATAATTAAAGACATTTTATACTATATAAAAACATGTGAAGTTACTCTGATAAAGTTCTTTTTTGTTTTTATTTTTTTAGGATGAGAGAGGCTGCTAGAAAAATAGAAGAAAGGCATTTTTCCAACTATGCAACGCATGTTGAATTTCTACCTGTTGAGTGGCGGTCAAAACTTACTCTTGATGGAGGTACATTTTGTTTAAAAATTAAATGATTTAGCTAATGACAACAAAATGATACTTGTTGGGAACAAAAGGTCTTTCGTTTGGCTGTCTTGAGATATATTCACTCTTCTGGATTATTTAAGAAAATAAAACCCATGTATCGAACTCTGTCGTTTTGGACCACAGATTTGGACCATAGATTTCACATATAGCACAGTTTTCATGCGTGTACTCTGGATTAGGGGGTATGTGGAGGGAACAAAACCTTTTCTAAAGTTTTTAACAGAAGAGTAACTTGTCAGTACTTTTAAAAGTGTTATCACAATTCCTATGAGCTTACATTTTCTTTCTAATAATTTGCCTTCCCTATATTTGGAAGATAAAATATCAGGTTTTTGTTTTCTTTAGTTGTTATTCCTGCACTCCCTGAGCTGGTGAGTTATAATTTAATGTAGAGAAATTGTATAATGTATTCGTTTAAGTAAAATCATTTTTGTTTCCTTTCTTAAAGAGCTGTAGCCAAAATATGTGTTTCTTAAACAAAGTTGTATTCTTTCAGTAGTAAAACCATTAAAATAGAATGTTTAAGTTATTTACATAATCTGAAAAATGAGAGAGTCTTTCTAGATGTAATAGCAGCTGCCATTTGTGGAGCCTTTACTGTATGCCTGACACTCTGTAGTTCATTTTACATGTAGTACCTCATTAATTTTCTCACAAATCTATGAAATACCTGCTTTATTTTCTCTATTTTACTGTTAAAAAAACTGAAACTTAGTAAAAGTTGAATTTACTAAGAATAGCAGGCATAGTCTAGGTCCGTACGATGCCAGAGCCCTTATTCATCACTTTGCCAGACTGACTCCCTGGATGATTTCCAAGGATTCTTCCAGGTCTGCAATTCTGTCTCATAGTCAGTTAGGAATATCAGCCATAGCTTATAAACCAAAATAGCATCAAAAGTTATAATGAGTAAAAAAACAAACAAACAACAAAAAAAAAACTAGTGACCAAAAAAGACTTCTTAGCAGCAACAGTTCATATATAAAGTTTTAGTGTAAATATACCATCTTTCACAATTTTGGGGGCTTTTCTCATTCACCCAGATAAGCTGCTCCAGAATGTAGACAATGTGGATAAACTAACAATTAATAAAACCCATAAGTTTGTAATTTTCTATTAGGTTTATACTACTATTATAAAATCTTAAAAAGCATTATGCTGAGTGAATGAAATTAAAGGAAAAACACCACCATTTCTCTCTATTCTAAACAATTCTGACACCAAATGTGGGGGTTGGGAGGAATTTGCCCCATACCAACCAATTTTCCAGTTCTTGGTGGACACTACTAAGTGTCCTGCAGTTTAACACAGAATATCCGGAAAAATCTACAGAAAAATAATTAGAATTAATAAGACAGTTTATCAAGGTTCTGAAATAGAAGATCTATATATAAAACTAATTGTATTTCTGTATACCAGCACAATTAGAAATAGCATTAAAAAAAAGTTCCTAGAAATAAATATAATAAAATATGTATATTTATATTTATGTACATTTATATTAAAAATGAAAAAACTATTAGTAGATATTAAATACAAGTTAATTTTATTAGATTAGATAATTTAGTATCCTAGAGATGTTAACTTTCCTAAACTGATTTATAGATTCCATGTAATTCCAATCAAAATCCCAATAGAGTTTTTCATGAAACTTGACAAGCTGATTCTAAAATTATTATGGAAGAGCAAAAGCCCCAAAATAGCCTAGATACAGATCAAGAGGAAGAGGGGGAGGTAAATTCTAGTAGATAGCTAGACCTATTATTAACTTTTGCAATTAAGACAGGTTAGTATTGGCACAAGGATAGGCCAGTGCACTAGACTAGAGACTCCCTAAACCTGTGCTTAGTTTGGAAACCTGGTCTATGACAGAACTGGCGTTACAGATCATTGGTGAAGGATAACCTGTTCCATAAATGGTGCTTGATAACTGGTTATCCTAAGTGAGAGGGAGTATAAGCAATCCCTACGTCACACTCTAGATGGATCAAAGACATAATATATGAACTCCAGGACTTTTTTTTAATCAAAATTATTGGAGAAACATTGGTTAATAAAATTACATAGGTTTCAAGTGTACAATAACATGTCATATCTATATTGCATTGTGTGTTCACTACCCAGTTAAATTTCCTTCCATCACCATATATTTGACTCCTTTTACCCCTTTTTATCCCCGACTTTCCTCTGATAACCACTAATCTGCTGTTTGTGTCCATGAGTCTCTGTTTGTTTGTCATGTGTGTTTGTTGCTTTCAGTTTTATGACCCATATATAAGTGAAATCATATGGTTCTCAACTTTTTCTGTCTGTTTTATTTCACTTAGCATGATAATCTCAAGATCTATCCATGTTGTCACAAATGGCAGTATTTCATCTTTTTTATGGCTTAGTAATATTCCATTGTATATATGTATCACATCTTTATCCAATCATATATTGAAGAACATTTCAGCTGTTTCCATGTCTTGACCACAGTGAATGCCAGGACTTTTAAAAGTATTAGCAAAAATATAGGAGAGTGTCTTCCTAAGATACAAAAAAAATAACTATAATCATACATAAATTTGATTATATTAAAATTAAGAATTTCTATTTCTCAAGAAACATCATAAAGAGTAAAAAACAAACCACAAGCTGGGAAAAGATGTTGTAACAGAGAAACAGATATAACCACCAAAGGTTTAATATACAGAATAAAGAATAAGAAACTTAAATACAGACAGAAATAATAGATACATACATATACCACATTTATATGTATGTATTTTATATATTTAAATATATTTGTATATTTAAAAATATATTTTACATATACAGTGTATATCTCATTAGTAATCAAGGAGATGGAAATTAAAACCACAGTGAAATATTCACACCCATCAGTTAGGCAAAAATTTAAAAATGTAATAATACCAAGTATTGGTGAGGATGTGCAGCAATGAGGATTCTCATTGACTATTGGGGGAATATAAATTGGTACAATCACTTAGGGAAACAATTTGACATTATCTTATAAACTTGAATGTGCATGTGCCCTATGACACAGCAGTTTCATATATACCCTAAAGAAACTCCTACACACGTGCACCAGGAAACATGTACAACACCGTTATTAGGAGTGTAGTTTATATTAGCAAGAACTTAGAAACAACCCAAATGTCTTTCAAAGGAAATGGCTAAATCGCGAGATATGTATAAACGGAATAGTGTACAGCATTGAAAATGAGTGGATTACAGCTATAAACATCAATATCCACGAATCTCAGAAACATAATATTGGATGTGCAACAAACTATGAATGATAACTCAATTTACATAGTGTTCAGAAACAGACAAAATGATATAAAATATTTAGGCTCTGGCACATAATAAGTGCTACAGAATTGGCTAAAATTGTTAACAGACATGAAGGAAATCTATAAAGAAAAGCAAGAGTGTGATTAACACAAACCTCATATTGGTGGTTACTTCTAGAGGTGGGAGAGAGGGGGCATGTGATCATTTAAGGATATACTGTGGTTTTCAGATACTGGCAATATTCTAAAGCTAGGGTTTTTTTTTATAAATCATCTTTCAGCTATACATATACATGAAATGCCTTCTTTTGTATGTATATGTATTTCACAGTAAAATCTTTTTTTTTTTTAGAAATGCATTAAAATGATATTTAAACTTTTTTATCAGCATGGTAGTCACATCTTTTACAATATAAAATAAGCACAGGCTATAAATAACTCTGCTGTGCTACCTACCCATGAATAGCCACAATATTCCCTTTTAAATCTTTGAAAAGACTTCTAGGTTTTGCTTGAATTATTGCCTTCTAGTTGTTATTAGATTGTATAAAAGTGGGGAATAAATAAAAATAAAATGATTTAAACCACTGCAGTGAAAAACGAAGATAAGAGAAATTGCACTAGACTAAAAATACAAGGCTTCTCTGCCCACTTTGTGCTTTCATACCATGATATTCATCCAAGCATAGAACTTCTTTGTACATCTATAAGAAATGCAAATTTTTCTGCATCTCTAATCATTTTTATTAGGCATTTAATAGAATAATTTTCCTATGGTAGAATTTCCATAGGTTAGCTGTAACTCACAGAAGGCTGAATGTGTTTACAATGCAGTTTATGTAATAGTTTTTTTTTTTCTTAAGTAAATTACACCAACTTCATCTTGTTTACTGAAGAGGCCCATTGCTGATTTGCCTTTGCCTTTGTGCATGTTTGTAATTTGACAACTCTTGCCCATAGGATCTTTGGTTCACTAAAGATAGATACATGTAAAGGAGAAGGAAACTGTTTAGTTTGTTGCTGATTTGCCACCAGTGACTCTAGGCATTCCACATGGTTGTTGCCAGGCCTGAGATGCATAGGCCAAAAAAGAAGAGAGAGGAAACAAGAGGAGGTACAGAAAAAGTGAGATTGTGTCCTTTGACACTTGTTCCAGGAATAGAGATGGCCTGGTTTTGCTCTGGGTACCCCTGAAAGTTATGTAAAAGCCAGTACATACAAAAAGGGTGAGGCTTTATAGGTTCGATAATGGCCTTCATTCTTTGATGTTCCTTTTCTTCCCATGTCCCCTTTTTGTCTTTTACAATTTTTTCTTGCTATATGTTGCGAGGACAGATTGATTAGATCTAAAGCTAATCCTGAATATGTTAACTTAAAAACTTTTTATTTCAGGGAATATAATTTTTTTTTACAATTTATTTTTTTTCCTAAAACATATCTTCTGTAAGTTTTGTTTGTTTTTTATTTGTAGACACTGTTGATTCCATTACTCCTGACAAAGTACGAGGTTTAAGGGATATGTTGAACAGCAGTGCAATGGACATAATGTATTATACTAGCCCACTTTATAGAGATGAAGTAAGTATCATGATTATCTTGTTGCTGTTAAGTAAAATTCATGTGTCCTGAATTTTAACATTTTATGCTGTTTTTATACAAGTAAATGAGAAATTACAGGACTCTCTTAATCTATAAATAGCCTATATGTAATAGTGAATTTGATAGTCTTCAAACTGCACATTGGGACCCTTAATAAAATTAATAATCTTGGAAGTGGGAGAGTAGTTAAAAAATAGCTCTGAAAAATATCAGTTTTCATAAATCTGATTCATCATATCTGTGATTATTGTCCTCACAAAAGAGTTAGAAATTTCCTTCAAATTTTTTGTATATAATAGACTTGTTTTTGTTGTTTGTTTTCTGTAGTGGATTCATATAGTTCTCAAATTGTAATGTTACTTATACATTATAAAGATAACCCTAAAGGGGGGCGAAGAGTGAAAGTTTGTTCAGAAGAATGAGAGAATCTTTAACAAATGTGTTTTGTCATTTTATTGGTAAGAGAAAAAGAGTTCTGTTTCATAGGAATAACCTTAGTAATTTCCTAGCACGTATTAACTTGTTTAATCCTCCTCAAAACCCTATGAGGTAGGTAAGATTAGTGCCCTCATTTGAAGGACGAGGAAGCTGGTGCAAGGAGTAATAACCAGTAGAGCTGTTCTGTGCTGCTCCAAGCCATCCATTTCTGATTTTGTTCATTCATAGTCATTCCCTGACTTCACTCAGGACATCCTTTACATCTCTACAGAAGTATGTTTGGTTAGGTGCCACAGAAACTTCTTTCTCTTCTGGCTACCATCCCCTTAGGATTTTTCTCCATTCTTCTTTCTATATCCCCTCATCGCCCTACACCAGTATTGGGCAAAGTCTGCCTTGATCTGATTGACACCAGTAAAAAACAAAGCTACGTGGCAAAAGAAGCTACAAGAAGAACTGCTGTTCTGAACCTAATTCTAACCAAGAAAGGCTTAGCTGGTGAAATAGAATACTAATAATGTACGAGTTCATAGCTCTTTATAGTGTGCAGTGGACATCGTTAAGTATGCTCCAGAGGCTCAGAAATTGAACTATATATAATACTGCAAGTGAAACCCGTAAGGAGAAAAAAGGAAAGAGAATGGCTGCGAGCATATTACTATACACATACGCACAAACACATTCCATATGTATATGCCTTATAAACACACACACACGTATATCATTGGTAGTACTCCTAAGCAGGTATCTAGAATGTTCATGGCTAAAATGTGCTGAGATGTGTCCCCCCAAGAGTAATAATGAGGACTTTTTACAAGTTTTAAGTTGACATTAACAGCAAAAAAAAAAAAAAAAAACAACTAGAAAAAGTGTCAGACTCAAAGCTGTGGCCATGGTCACTGAGAAAATGGTCACTTTTTGTTTTGCTCTTATATCTTTAAAGATAATTATTCTCAGAATGGAATTGAATAAAACAGATATTCAATAGAAAGAGGAAACTGATAGCTAAGTTAAATGAAAAGGAAAGCGAACACGCAGTGTTTTAAATTAGGTTTTTGATCCAGTTGAATTTTGTGGAAAAGCACTGAGAACTTTGAGATTCATCAGCAATCTTGAGCAGTGTTTTCCAAATGTTTGTAATTAAAGCAGTCACTTGGGCATAAGGAACCCCTTAGGGGGAGGGGCATTGGAATTGAGGGAATTATTGTGAATTTATGATCTTGAAAATATGTGGGTGTTATATAGATATTATCTATATATTAAAAGTATATATTGTACATACATGCATATATTTCCTACCTCTGTCTCCTGAAAGGGCCAGAAAACAATGACCCCCCAATCTAATGAGCATACCTAATACCTAGAGCTTTTCCTCTGGTGCTATTATTCATTATTGTTACTTATTGTAAGAAATTAGTAGTACTTTTAATATAGAATTATAATAAGGATAATGTAAAAAAGAATTATAAATTATTGAAAAGTTCATAAGTCCATAACATGTATAAATAGGTAAACAAGTCGGGGAAGGAAGGTCCTTTGTTTATAGTAGAATGTCAGGGGCTCGCTGGTAAATGTGGAAGGAATGTTGGAGTTGGAAATCTTCAGTTTGCAGCTGTCATGGTAGGATTAGGTAAGAGAAGATTGGACAAGAATCATCAAAGGATGCTAAATTGAGGGTAAAATTTTGATGAGGAACAGGATGTCTGCATGGTCTTAAAGTGTATCCTCACAGACTGCTTATTAGTTGAAAAAATGAGAAAAGGTATACAGTGGAGAAATCAGGCAACATCCTTTACTATGTGTTACTGAGGGACACTCAGGACACAGCATCATTTCTGCAGTATTCCAGTCATGAAGAAACATCAGACAAACACAAAAGGAGGAAGTTCTAATAAAAAAGTAAGAATGGGACTATGTTCTTTTAAAATGTCAATATCAGAAAAGACAAAGAATGGCTGTGGAAAATGTTCCAGATTAAAGGAGACTAAAGAGACATGATAGTTAAATACATCTCATCCTAGGCTGTGTTCTGGACTGGATGGAGGAAAATGCTACAAAGGATATTATTAGATCAACTGACAAAATTTAAATTTGAATATTAGATTAGATAAAATATTTAATCAAAATAAATTTGTTATGGAAAAGAATATTCCTAGTCTTAGGATATATACACTGTGGAGTATTTAGGGATAAAGGACCATGACATTTGTAATATATCCTCAATTCACAAAAGGGTGTGTGTGTGTGTGTGTGCACGCTATAGAAACAGAAAAAGTGATGAAGATAGGATAAAATGCTAACAATAGGTGAATTTGGGGTAGAAGATATATACATGATCTTTATACTATTTTTATTTTGCAACATTTTATAAATTTGAAATTATTTCCAAATAAAAATTTAAGAAAAGGAAATGACAAAAAGTCCTTTACCTAGAGATTCTAAATTAGTGGGTCTGAGGTAGAGCCTGTATATTTAACAGTTCCCCAGGTGATACTATCAGAGAAGTTTGGGAAACATTGCTAAGGCATTGTGAAGAATGCAAGAAAACAAGAAAATCTTAGTGAGAAGTGGGCAAAAAATTATTCGTTTTTAAAAATGAAAACTTCTGCAAATCAAGGTTGATGTTAGGCAATATTCTAGAATAAATTATTTTAAACAATATATGTTTCCTTAGGGAAGTCATGATAAGTAACAGCCAGCAGGGGTCCTTTATGATTAAGCATGCCTAAGTGGTGAATGATCCTTATTTGATAGGCATATGAAAGAGCCTTTTTCTCCTTCTTCTCTGCCTTTGGAGTCAAATAGAGATTCAAAACCTGCCACTTAACTAGCTATGTGACCTTAGATCAAATTTCTCAGTTTCTCAGCTTCCTCACTTGTAAAATGGACATAAAATGCCTAGCAGATAAAGGTTGTCATGAGGATTAAATATATATATATATTTAATCTCACTCCTTAGACGATATTGACTAGAATTTCCCAATACAATTCTTTGGCCTTAGCTTTTCAGGTGTGATTGAGTATATATGTCGTTATGTATTTCAAAGCTACCATTTTTAAAAAATGGAATGGACCTATATTCTTTTAATTCCAAAAGTAAAATAAGGATCCATGAATAAAAAATATAGAAAGGAACATGTTTGTTTACTAATGAAGAACTTCGTTATAACTAAAGCTGCCTTAAAAAAAGTGGAAGTATCATAAGGAACAAAATTTGTAAATAATTTGAGGTGATGGGTTTTAACTAAACTTACTGTGGTAATTATTTTACAATATATACATATTTTACAGCTTAAACTTATATGATGTTATGTATAATTATATCTCAATAAAACTAGAAAAAAAAAATTTAATAGAAGTGACCACTGTAGAATGGAGGTACTCGCTGGGGTAGATGCTGAGCAACCTTTCAGGGATGCTGCTGAAGGGACCCCTCCCTTCACAGCAGTTTAAATTAGATCATCTCTGTGGTCCCTTTTCACTGGAAATTCTGAGGTGCTCATAGGAAGATCCTAATTAGTGATTGTACAAATAATCACTAAAAACCCATGGTTAGGGAAAAAGTTTTGTATATAAATCAGTAAAGTGGACCGATTTTTAAAAAATAACTATTTTCAGACTTCCAAGAAACCATTAGAGAGCCTTTGGCCCTTGCTTTAACCCTAAAATAACGTGAAAAATCCAGACAGAACTGTACACCCTGTGTGCATCTGAACTCTTTTCAATGGCTTTTAATAATGAAGAATTATAAGGCGAATGGTCATGGAAATATCTTGCCATTGTTAATTGAAATTTGATTAACTGTTATGTATGACTAAAACTGTCTAAATTACTTTTTCTCTTTAAAATTTCCCGAAGCAAGGAGGACAAAGGACTAATTATATTCTTCAGCCATATTTTTGTATTTGTGAATTTTCTCTTAAAACCGCTGTTTTTGTTTATATTTTTTTTCTTTTGGGATGATTTTCTTTATAAATTTTAACTTTTGAGTAGTGGTTATGAGAATTAGAAACTTTTAAAATTTTGAAAAGCCTTCTAATGCCTACTATGTAAGGGGTTAACTGACTTGATTAGGTGATATTGTAGAGCTAATAAAATTAAGATCACAGGGTATGTCATTAATCTTAGTTCAGATATCCCAAATGAATATACTTGGTCGCAAAGGGATCCTAGCTGGGAGAGTATAATAGGATCAGAATGGAGAAAGGGAAACCTAATTAGAAAAACTCCTAATTAGAGTAGACTTTTTGGGTGCAACATAGAGGTGGATTTCTCCTTTTGCTGCTAAGTGGGTGATTTATAAAAGCATTTAGATATAGTGCAAAGCCATTTTAAAAGTTGACTTTCAATATCATAATGTGTTGACCACAAATGTTCCTGTATGTGTAAGCCATGGTCAATATCATAATGTGTTGACCACAAATGTCCCTGTATGTGTGAGCTATAGTCAAAGATTAAAAATGTTACCATGTCTAGATAAGTTCTAAGAAGAAAATACAAAGACTGCTTCTATTCAAGTATATAATTATTAAAACAGATAAAAGCAACAGCTCTTTCAGAAACTGTCCATTCTGTTTCACTCCATGGTGAAATATTTTAATGTCTAGTATGTGTTCTCTGTCTTGAATATTTATTCTTTGTTTCGTTGTCCATATATGATTGCTGGACTAAGGAAGTATTGGGTATAGTGAGAGATGCTTTAAATTTTTTAAATATGAAATAGGTTAATCATTGGTAGAGATACTGATAGATCTTTTCCTTTTTTGAATTTTTAAATTTTAATTTGGAGGGGTTGGTATTTAAAAAAATATAAAAATATGAAGTACCTTTTGTGAGATTACTTACATATATATCTTTTAGTGTTTCTATATTTACGTGGTATGAGTCTTAAAATCAGGCCTTCAAAAGTAAAAACTATTAACAAATTGCTTTTAAAGGAATTTATCTAAACTAGCTTTTTCTGTACCTCCCTTTACATAGATTGTATATCAGGAAAATTATAAAATTTTAAAGGTTAGTTGATATTCGTATCAAAGCCAAATCCAAAACATTACATTATAGCTCACTTCGAACGAAGCATGTAATTTCATATCACACTGCCCTGTCTTTAAACTATATTGACTAGCATTACCTACAGCTCATGTCTTAGAAGGCTTTTATATACATTTGCCACAAAAGCGGGAGTTCCTAAAGTGTGGTCCTCAGAACTGCCGAATCAAAAACTGTGATGGAGCCTAGTAATGAGTATTTAATGAGCCTGTCAGGTGATTCTGATATACATTGAAAGCTAGAGAAACGTTGCACTAAAGCATGGAATTCTTTTGCTTTTCCTGGGGAAAAAAATAAAATATCCAATAAAAGTAAAATTTTTGCCTTCCTACCCAGAAAAGGCAGCTTATTATCCTTTCACATGCTACCAGCTCGTCTTGTCCTTCTCTTCTTTTATTGGCTAAATATATGTCATCAGACCCAGTACATGCTTTTGGTAGCTCTAACCAGCCCCTCAGTGTGTTGTGTTGTAGCGCTCTGAGATATCAACAGTCAGAACGTCATGCCTTCATTCACGTCCCTGCTATCCTGCCAAGCATGAATGTTCAAATGATTTTCAGTTTATGTCAACAAGTAGAGGATGTTTAGTAAAATCTGATGAAGTCTCGTTGTCTCTTGAGATAAAATAACGTGATTGAAAATGGAAGCAACGTATAGCTAATACGTGTATGTCAGAGTAACAGCTGGTATATTAAAAAGTACTGAAATGAGAAATTGCATGTCAAGCAGGAAATTTATAATCGAATAGCGGTAAGCAATGATAGGAAGAAAACAAAAGAACCTTATTCTTCTGACTTTATAGAGTATTTCAGTAATATTTGTTAAAGCTAAATTTCAAAGAAAAATGACTAAGATACTTCCTACATTAACCTCTAAAACTTAAAAAGCCCTGTTTTCCAGCCATATAAAACAACTTTTACTCTTCTCTATGTTGCCAACCTAACGAGAATTTTGAAATATCAAATAGATCAACATTGGCATTTCATTACATTATTATCTAAATGCATAGTGTAATATATGTAATATATTAGTATACCTATTATCATAAACTCAGATACTCTTTTTGTAAAATTTACTATAGCCTAAAAACTGCAAGGTATAAAAATTTTAATTACTTATGAGTAAGTTGCAGTGGAGAAGAAATTTTCAAGGGCTCTTTTGAAATCTTATTGGAATCTGCATGGAACTTTTTTTTTTTTTTTTAATTCAGCTGCTAGCTCTTATAGTTAATTCAAGGGCTGTGAAAGGATCTGTGTGGGTAATAATCTACCTTTATTGTTTAGTGATAATATGGATTATAATATATACCTTATTTCATTTCCTGCAAGGTTTTGAAGCACCTGAGTTAATATTAATAACCTAGGTATATTTGGCCAGTAATGTATATTGTTCTTTCTTAATGTATTTGAGTTTAAAAATAAAGTTTATAGTGGTCAGTGATTACTCTAATATGATAATGTTCTCTTGTTTTAAACAGCTAGTTAAAGGCCTTCAGCAAGAGCTGAATCGATTATATTCCCTTTTCTGTTCTCGGAATCCAGACTTTGAAGAAAAAGGGGGTAAAGTCTCAATAGTGTCACATTCATTGGGATGTGTAATCACTTATGACATAATGACTGGCTGGAATCCAGTTCGACTCTATGAACAGTTGCTGCAGAAGGAAGAAGAATTGCCTGATGAACGATGGATGAGCTATGAAGAACGACATCTTCTTGATGAACTCTATATAACAAAACGACGGTAAAGTACCGTAGTCTCTTAAAATAATTTAAAATATCCTCATGGAATTGATGGACTTCTTAGGAGAAAACTTTTAAGATTTTTCATGATAAAGAAAAATATATTGTTCAGGGTACAAAGATTATTATATAACATGCCTAATCAAGCAGAGACTTAATTTTCATGCTAATTATATGCATTTCCCTATAGCATAAAATAAATGGTTTTGTCATCTTCCTATTTTTCCTTCTGTATATTCTTCACAGTTTATTGGCAGTGAAATCTAAAACATTCCAAGCTGAGTCACTGTAGAATCCTTGTTGAAAATGTTTATCAGTTTGTAATACTTTGTAGTTTTACTGATCTTAAAGATGGGCCTGTACCTTTCTTACTAGTTTGGAAATAATTTTAAAGCTCTTTTTTTTCTTGGCAAATCTATTTTTGACAGATTTTATAATTATCTGATCACTTGTGGCCTTCCTGATACTCTCTTAGTTCTTTGTTGCATTCCTATCTTCATCTGTAATTGCATGCTCTGTCTTGTCTTCTTAATGATTGTCCAGTTGATTTCAATAGAACAGTGAAAAGTCACTCATTTTGATAGCTAGCATTATATAAATACCAATTTACTCTGAAAGCCTTGGATTTGTTTCAGTCTTAACGAAAGTTGCCTGAGGAATTCATTTAGAATCTTATTAAGTACCATAGGCTAGATACATAAAATTTATAGTTGTAAAATAATTGACAGTTCCAAAAGAAAATGTCATTTTGGCAAGCTTCAGAGCAGCATTTTAGATATAAAATTTAGTAAGAAAAAAAAAATAAACAGTCTTAGAAAATAAACTGTACTTTAAAAAAAAAAACAGTTCCATTGTTTAATAAATGTAAGTAGATATGGAACATTGTAATGGGACAAAATTTAAATAATCCAAATGTTCATTAGCAGAGGAGGGTTAAATCAACTGTGGTTCATTCGTATGATGGACAGTTACACAGCTGTTATAAAAATGGAAGTGTAGATCAGGAGGCAGTAAAATGACATCTAAGATTCATTTTTAGTACAGAAACAAGAAAGAACAATGTATGTGGTATGAATATTTGGTTTGATTTTTTTAAAGGTGTACATATGCTTGTATTTTCTCACATTTTTACTAAAGGATCCCCCCAAAAAGCTGTTAAAAGCAGGTATTATGGAGAGTAGGGATACTTTTAATTGTTTTATAAACTTCATCTATAGACTTTCTGTTCTACGGCAGGTGCATTTATTAAATACTGTCAATAGAGATTAATTTGAGGGATTGAATAATGAGTCATGTTTTCCTTATAATTTAGTGAACTAGTGAGCATCTAATATTTACGAAATTATAAATACAAATGTGTACATAATTTCATACTGCTTCCTAGGCTGAGAGAAATAGAAGAACGGCTACATGGATTGAAGGCATCATCTATGACACAAACACCTGCCTTAAAATTTAAGGTAAGGAAAGACAGATGAGATTTTCATTATTTATCTCACTTTTTTCACAAACATCATTTGAAGCATGATAGTAGGATTCAAATGAAATCTTAGTTATTGTTATTTTAAATTAATATTTATTGAACATATACTGTGTGTTGGACACTGCTAGTTTCTGGGTTCTACAAAGGAAAGAATGGAAAAGACCATTCCCCAGCCATCAGGATATATAATACAGTGTTATTGGTGCTGTTAGCAGTGTATAGAATGATGTATGCATGAGAGAAAGAGAGAGGTTTTAATTTTGACTGAAGGATTATAATGAAATGACATTTGTACTTGTTATGGATAAATTGGATATTGCCAAGTGGAGGAAAGGAAAAATGTTCTGTGTAAAAGAAAGAATATAAAGCATGGAGGGATATAACTTTATAGTACCTCCAGGAAACACCAAATAATCTCAAGTAATGGGGAAAGAAAAATAAAGACAGATCTCGGAAATATTTAGTATTTAGAATTAACAAAACTTAGTAACCAACCAGTTGTGGGTGGTAAAAAAAAATAAGTGGAAGTATATGAATAATAACTCTTAAGTATACAAACTGTCATTCCAGTCAATGAGAAGTGTGTAACAAAAGCACAAAAAGGAGTGCACAGGTCATTTTGGAGGAGGGTGAGCAAGCCAATTTAGCTGGAATATATAGGACTCAGCCAGGGGGGTGTGGAAGAGCAGAAAGAGGCAGAAATAGAAAACTTATGTTTGATAGAGGCAATGGGAAGCTTTTTAGAGTTCATAAGCATCACAACAGAGATGTCAAAAACAATGATTTAGAAGAATTAAAGTGGCAGAGAGATCTCAACATTGACCTGACTGTTGAAAAGGACAAAGCCGAAAGGCTTTGTTTTCATTGTTAAATGTAGTATGGCATAAGTTTCTTAGCATTCATTTCCTGGTAAATATATGTGTATGTCCTGTATACTATATTATCTCTTCTTAAAAGGTTTTTTTTTTTTTAATCACAAGAACTTAATATCCAGGTTAAGTAATGGAATGATGCAGCTTTTTTTTTAAACAGTAAGGGTTTTCTTATAGAATCTATCTCCACAACTTATAAAGAATTTTTTAAAAACTTATACATTTAAAAGCCATTATGTTAAATTTATAACATACATTTAAAAACCATAAGAGCATGGTCTTTGGAATCACGCCCACCTGGAATTTGAGTTCCATCTCTACCACCATTATTATATATAATCAGTGTTCAATATGTATAATTAATCTGATAGGAAAAGTAAACTCTTCTATTTTATGTACTGGGTTTTTTTACTGGAGAGTTGAGTATGATCCAGTAAATATATTAAGATCTCAAAGTTCAGTATTACATTACTAGAATTATGTACTATAATTGTGTATCCTTCTAATACATAGTCATATGTAGTCTAGTAATATAGATTTTAACTCTTATTTAATTATTCAGAGAAAAAATATAGCAATCCAAATTTTAAAAAGGAATATCCGATAAATTGGCAAATTAACATTTAGGACTCCAGTGTTCTAAAAGGAAAAATGTCTTTATGTGCCTATTAACTTGCAGATGGATTTACTTTCAGAATGCAGGTGTTGTAACTGTTACAGGTGACCACCGAACTTAAAAAAAAAGAAAAAATGATATCGACAAACTTTGGTCTGAAGAAAGGGAAACTTTGATTCTGAGCGTCAGACTTTGCCACTGACTAGTTATGTAACATTAACTAAATCATTCAGCATAGTTGAATTCACCTGTTTAACTGTGGAAAAGGAAGTCAAACTAAATGTCTAAAGCTCTTTTTCATCTCTAAAATTCTTTGATAGATATAAATATTACTAAAGCAGTCATTATTCTCACCTGAGAATATTTGTTTGTGTGTTTATCAAATGGTGTTTTTATCTGTCACTGTTATATTTCAAATGCTTTTTCTTATAGTTTTAATTTTTCTAACACAAGTTAATTTTCTTCAGCCTTCAAACATGTTGAAGTTACCCAGTCCTTTCAAAACAAACAGAAACTTTCTCAAACTTTCTTTAACATAAAGGTACCATTTCAAAATATGTATTCATTCACATATTTTTTTCATTGGATAAAAAGAAAAATGTCTCCAGAGACATTTGGGGAAGGGATTAAAAGTATAAAAAGTTGGAGATAGGGACACTGTTAAAGTATAGTCCAAACGAGGGCGTGAGGTGAAATGTTAGAATTTGTTGGAATTATTTTTTAGATGTTGGGGATGAGAGGGAAGGATGAATTTGGGTGCTCCACTCATCAAAATATGGAACATATGAGAGAGAGAGGGTGGATTTATTAGGGAAGAGTATTACATTCTGTATATTATACAATGCTGTTGACCACCCTTTTTTTCTTGAAGCCCTCTGTTCTCCCTTGGCTTTCATGATACCATTACCCTGGTCCTCTTTTTCCTTTCACTCTCCTTTTTGCAGTTTTACCTTCTTCACCTGCTAACCATATGTAGCCATTCTTCGTAGTTCTATCTAAAGTCATTTTATTCTGCGCACTTCCTAAACAATCTTACCCTAATTCTCTTGGTTTTACACATCACTTTTATGACGGTAACACATAAACTTGGATAATGACATATCCAGTTCTATATCTCTTGCTCTAAATTTTCAGCTACCTGATAGATAATGTTATAGATACCTCAAACTTTTATATAAGCAAAAAAGCACTTACTTAGTTTCCTGTTACAATCAATGGAACCACTGGCCTCCAAGCCAGGCAGACAAATCTTGTGAATTGCCTCTGACTTATTCCTCATTCTCATCTCCATTCAGTCATGTTGATTCCACCCTGTCCTCTCAGATTTCCATTTCTGAATGAAACAGCTTGTCCTGCCCAGGTTCAGATCATCTTTTGCCTGAACTCTTTCAGTAGTTACCTACCTTGTCAAGTCACCAGCCTCTCAACTTTCCATTTTATCCACAAGCTACTACCAGGTTTACTAACTTCCTAAAACATGGATCCAATCCTATTCTCCTTTACTACCTATAAAATAAATTAAGTCTAATTTTCTTAGTCAAACAGTCAGGTTTCTATAACATTCTCACTACAAGCTGCATTTTCCCCACACTGTTGAGTGAGTGAAGCTTCATCTGTATTTTCAGCCACTTCCCAGCACCAGCATGAGTACCTCAGCTCCACCTCAGATCATCAGGCATTAGATTCTCTTAGGAGGACCAGTCCCTGGTGCCAATAAGGTTAGGGACCACTGTTTAGAGCACACCTTCCCTATCTCATACACTTATTCTGCTTCCTACACAGATTATAAACTCCGAGTGCAGAAGCTCTGTGCCTTATTCATCTTTATATCCTTCACAGGACCTGTTATATTAACTTCACACAAAATAGTAGTTTAATCCTTGATTAGTATATAGAAACACACAGTGAAAGGATCCTTCTCCTATACTTCTCATTATTCATTTTCTATTAGATTTAAAGATAACAAAGGTGCTCCTGGAAATAGATTGTGTAGAATAATTAATGATTGGCATATAGTTAACAAATAATGCAGATACCGTTTGGCAAAGCTCATCGAAAAAGATATATATTTGAAGATAATTTTATTATTTGTATCTTACCATATGTTATATCATGTCCAAATTCTGTTGAAAAACACTTAGCCATTTTTAAAATTTCGGATGACTTTATCACTTTAGGTTGAGAATTTCTTCTGCATGGGCTCTCCATTGGCAGTTTTCTTGGCATTGCGTGGCATTCGCCCAGGAAACAGTGGAAGTCAAGACCATATTTTGCCCAGAGAGATTTGTAACCGGTTACTAAACATTTTTCACCCTACAGATCCAGTGGTGAGTTGTAAATATAGACATTTTCCTCTCAATATTAAATTGTTCCCAAAAGAATCTATAAGAAATCTTGCAAAGTAGTACTGAATTAATGAAAAAGAGTTCATTTATCTAATGATATTTGCATAGGTTCATATTTTTAAAACATTTGTGTTTGATTGTTGTAGAGATGACCTGTTTATGTTGTAGCGTAAGAGCATAACATATATGCCCTCTTAACAATTAATACAAGAGACAGAAGCCTTCTGGACTTTCAAACCTTAAGCAGTTTTAATACCAATAACCCAGTAATCATAAATTTTAAAAATCCCACTTTAAATATTTTTTTCTCTAAAGCATGTATTGAAATGTGTTTGGCAGGTTGTTAGAAATGAAAATATTTAAATATTATGTATTAAACATGAAAAAGTAGAAGAGTTTATTTTAGCCAGGTGGAATTATAGAATTTCAGATTTTTACATTTTTCTGTTATGTTTGTATTGTAAATTTTTTTTTAATGTAAACTTTTCAAGGATCTTGCATCTAGGTAAACTAATATGTCATTTTTCATATGAGAAAAATGCTTCCTTAAACTCTTTTGGGGACAAGGCTAGATATAACTAAATTTAAAACAAACTTTTAAATAGCATTATATAACAACTTATATAATTATGTAAAAACTTTTAAAAGATTGTTAGCTAGAACCAAATAAATAGAACATTGACTAGACACTAGGATTTTAGAAATTTTCCCTTATGTTAAAGAATCAAAACTGCTCTATTTAAAAAATAAATTTTGCTGAGCTGGAATCTGATACTAGATTTAAATACAGGCAGTACAGTCTTGGCCAAGTAACTTCTGAGACTTTCTTATTTGTATGATGTGGAAGTATGATGATATTTTACCTCAGGGTTGTTCGGATAAGTAAAATATACGTGAAAACAACCAGCTAGACGTTAAGTGTTTCATTAATATACATTCATTTTACTCATTCTCTTGAAAGTGAACTTGACATTGTAGGTGAACTCCGATCTTTCATTGTCCCTTGTATAATCTTAAACTTTGTTATATTATAAAGGAAGATTTGAAACTCATTTGATTTTTATAAATTATTTTTATTATTTTATAGTTTTTCTTAGATTTTTTTTAAAGTAATGCTTTTTTAGTAGTTTATGTCAGAACTGTACTAGGCTGTTTTTACAACCTTATCTGTCCTTTACAACATCTTTGGGAGGTAGGAAGTGTTATCTCCTTTCTACAGTTCAGGAAACTGAGTCTCTAAGACCTTGTGACTTGGTAAGTGTCTTAGTTAATAAATGACAAAGGCCAGAATATGAACTCGAGGAATTCTGATGCCAAGTCCATTGCCATTTCTGCTATATCATCTCCACTTCACATTAAACAAATAGTCTTGTATCGTAATCTAACTTGTGTGTTACTATACTAATCTATTTGAAAATAGAGTTAACGGAGAGCTCTTAAGATATTAAAATTTGACCTGTGTTTTAGTTTACTCTTTACTGCTTCAGCTTTATTTATGAGACTAATATAAATCCATTAGATGATATCAGAACATAATAAAAATGAATCTATTTCTCTGAAAAAAAAAAATTAGTGGGCATTATTAGCCTAAACTATTAAGAATGGACAAATAGGAATACATGTTAGAAATATCAGGTTTTTTAAATTCCCTACATTCTACTGAGCATACAATAGAATAAGAATAAACAGAGTTAACTAAAATCTGAGTACTGTGCCTTAATGTTGTGTTTCTTTGAATTTTTTTAAATCAAGGCTTATAGATTAGAACCATTAATACTGAAACACTACAGCAACATTTCACCTGTCCAGATCCACTGGTATAATACTTCCAACCCTCTACCTTATGAGCATATGAAGCCAAGCTTTCTCCATCCAGCAAAAGAAGCTACCTCAGTTTCAGAGAACGAAGGCATTTCAACAATACCAAGCCCTGTGACCTCACCAGTCTTGTCCCGCCGACACTACGGAGAATCTATAACAAATATAGGCAAAGCAAGCATATTAGGTAATTTCTCTTCGGTATTCCATATCTGTGAATATAGGTACTTTTTATACAGGCAGTAAACTTTGGATACTTGGAAATACTCTGTTTTACAAAACATCCAATAGTTAATCCCCATGGTTAGAGTTAACTACTCTCTCACTGTTTATATTTGAGGGCCAAAGGCCATGAAGTTCTCTAATTAGATCATGTCCTATAGTTTTAGAATATGAGATAGCTAGATGTACAAGAAAGGGTCTGGGAATCAAGTCCCTCATTTTAATCTTGACCCTACCACTTACTGTGAGATTTTGGGCAAGTCACGTAGTTTTTAATGCTCTGCTTCCTCATCTGTGAAATGAGGAGATACTTGAGTTCTAAGGGTGCCCCTACAAACCAGTTCTCTGATTCATGTCCTAAAAGTCTCTCAAACTATGGCCTTTCCTGAGGGCAACAGGATATTTAATTTATTTTTGATCTCCAGTACCAACCCCAGTGTTTGGTGTAGCTCTGGAGCTTAATTATGTGCCACTGGAATTTGTCCATTGCTTTTGGTTGCAAGTTGCTTTAATATAAAATGCCACAAGATGGCACTATAAATAGGCTTTGTCTGCTGGACTCATTGGTATTTTACTTCATCATACAGACTGTTTACTGATAGCTTTTTATAACATATCCATTTAACTTTAGTATTGAGCACATCAATACTAAATATATGCTCATGTCAATGACATGGTTCTTTTATTAAAGTTTGCAATCTTACCAAATACTTTAATAAACAATGATCACTTGAATAAAATAGAATCTTTATTCCTTTGTAAGCTATATTCTTAGAATTTGTATAACTCTCATTCTAATCAACATCATTTTTATTTAGAAACCTACAGTATAAATTGTAATTTTTTTTATGTTCCCACCCTGGAAAAACATGACTAAGGCTTGATCCCTCTGCCAATTGGCTGTAATTATGGGTGGTGCTCTTTAGCTTGGCATGTGGTGTAATTCAGCAGAATAACTTTTTTTGTGAAAATACAGGAGCTGCTAGCATTGGAAAGGGACTTGGAGGAATGTTGTTCTCAAGATTTGGACGTTCGTCTACATCACAACCATCTGAGACATCAAAAGACTCAATGGAAGATGAGAAGAAGCCAGTTGCCTTTCCTCCTGCTACCACTATGGCCACACAGACCCTTCCACATAGCAGTTCTGGCTTTCTTGATTCTGCATGTTAGTTCATACTGTTCTTTCCTTAAGTTTATACTGTATCTTTTTTAAACTTGAGGAGGGCTGAGAGGATTAAGATATTGACACTAGCAGTCAACTCTAAAATGTAAAGCTTAAGTTAGCTTTTAAAAATGTTTTTCTTTGCTTACATTTTTAAGACTAATCCCAGGTAAATGTAGTTTTACTCTCTTTATTGGTAAATTAATAATTAAGAACATTAATAATCATGGCCTTGTGGTGCAAGGCTCTTTGAACATCAAGCATAAAACAAGTCTCTTTATATAAGCACCCCCCGATTTTTATAAAGTAGATTTTTTAAAAATATAGTCTTGTCAGTCTTAAAATTTTCATAATTGCATCAAAACTATGTTGTACCTACTCTAGATACTTTTAAATAATTGCTATGCCATAGCCATCCTGCTGTGAACCTAATTCTGAAACCTCCCTTCATCGAACCTAATTCTGAAACCTCCAAACCTTCAATTAGTATTGGATCCACTGTATGGATTATAGGTCTATCCCAGCTACTTAGTGTAAAGTAGGTATTCAAGAAATGAGTGAATGAATGGATGGTTATGCTGGAATTGACATTAGAATGGAGCTTTATTTAATTTTTTCCAGTGGATTTATAAGTTTTAAAATCTTGAAACACTAATATACCTACTTAGTATAATTTTCAAGGGGCCAGATTTGGCCTTTACTTTTAAGTGTCCAGTAAAATAAGACTATTAAGTCAAGTCCTGTTTTTCCATTGACATATATAAGGAAATGTAGATTCTGAAACTAGCTACTTTCTTTCTATAACCATAGGTAAAGGAAAACTTTACTTTCTTTCTCTAAAAATTTTTAAATATGTCATTTCAGATACTTAGAGCCTTGTTTTCTTACTATGTCTGCTACTCTAAATTTTAAAATGACCAGAATTTATTGCCATCCATAAAACCTAAAAAGGAGGCTCAGATGTGGCAGCCTTAGAGGCTGGATCTTTCTCCACAGTCACCCACTCCAGGATGGATTATCCTGGACATTCCTAAGTTGGACATTCCTATTTGGCCAGTAGCATTTTTTTTAAACTTAATCCTATCTGTGTCAGACTCTTAGTACTGAAAATTTTATAATTGCAAGCTTTTTGAACACTGCACAGAAAATGCATTTTAGACTTTGATGTTTGTACAAATTTCATATTTTAGTTTTCTTTTAAGAGTTTTTATATTATTGCTGATTTAAGCTCTCACTTCTAGTTAATATCAGAATTATGATTGTGAAAATACAAAATTTTGCTGTAGCATTTAGATGTCAAAAGAAAACTAAAATTCTGAGGAAAAATAATTTCAAAGAATTTTGTAAGGTGATAGGTAAAAAGTCACAATTCTTTGTAATGTTAATGAATAACAAAGATGCTAGTAAATAGGATGAATAAGAGAACAAGAGCAGGGCAGGATTTGAGCCCCAGAGAGGGGGTAATGAAGACATATAGAGAAAATCTATAGGGCAGGAAAGCTATTTTTAAGCGGTTTTTTTGTTTGTTTTTTTTTACTATTTAACATTTTCAAAATGATGTTAGAGAAACCTTCTTCAGGACAACACTGAGGTGCTTAGCTGTATTGCATCATTATGTTTTGATAGCTTAACAAAATATATTTTCTGTCATTCTTGCATATAAATTCTCTTGATCCAAATGGTAAATTCTTTGTCTACTATAGACGCAACTAAATATGAGCTAATCATGGGTCTTACATATATTACTTGCTAGAAATAGATGTAACTATTAAAATTAGGCAACTACTACTACCATAGAGTTCTGCCTTTTAAATGAAATCCTCAAGATTATCCTTACTAATTCTTGGACTAGCTTCAATAATATACTCTTCTATGTAATCCTGATTTAGACAAATTTCTTAAGTCTTAATTGCTATTTTGGCCACCTCTTGCAAATTATAAAACTTTTCTTCCATAAATCTTCTTTCTGGAATGTGATTAGGTAATTCTGGCTTCTTCCTTTCTTCTTTCTGCTCACCTTGATTGCCTCAGTTCCTCTCCATAAGCTTTATTTTGAAGCTACCAACTTTGATTCTCTCACTCTGAGGGTAAGATGGACACAGACTTTGAATCATGATCAGTCGGGGTTTCTCTCTTTGAAGAGTAAGTGCTGTCAGCTGAAACCACTTTATTGTCATCAAGTCGAAACATCTTACATAGCTATTCTTTCTGCCTTTTGAAAAGTCTAGGCTTATTTCTTGTTTCATTTCTTATGCTCCCCTGTGTTTGTAACAATATGAAAAGATCGGTTTCTTTTATTATTGTTTTGCCTCTAGGTTAGAACGTAAATGAGCTATAAATTTTGGGGATAGCTGGGTGTTAACAGATTATGACATGATATTTCAAAATTAATTATGCTTACATTTTCCATGAAAGAATTCTTCACAAAAACCAAAATGTGTACTTACTTATATATGCTAAGTTTGAGCAGCGTATTTGGGAGTATTGTTCTAACTTTTGGCCACTGCCTCATTGAAGGCCATTTGTAACTATCAGCCAACACTTTACAGCATCTTGTGTTTTTTTTTCACAGATTTCAGACTTCAGGAATCGTTCTTTAATCTCCCACAACTTCTTTTTCCGGAAAATGTAATGCAGAATAAAGATAATACCCTCGGTATGGTATATGTCAGGAATAGCATTCAGAATACTATGAAAATGATCTACTTAGAGTTCTTCTGCTCATTGAAAAATTGGATCAGTTCTTCCATGAGATCAGTTTATAGGCTATATGTATTTTCTTCCTGTATTTTCTAATCTTAAATGGTAGTGGTCCTGAAACCTGACTATTGATTAGCACCAACTGCACTAAAATATATGATACTCACATATGCTCCTACAAAGAAGGATCTTTTTAGAGAGGGGAGGAAAGCATAAGCTGTTTTTTTTCTTCTCTCTTGTCCTAAAGGCTTCAAAGAGTTTCACTATTCTTTTCATGTAATACACTAGATATAAAAGGGATTTCATAGTATAAAGAATTTAATCATTCCCAGTTATTTCATGTGTCTTCAATCTATTAATTTTCAGCAGATTCTAAATATCACTAAGGATTAATCCCAGTTATCAATTAACTTCTCATTCCTATTTCCACAACTCTTTTTCCTTTTTTTAAAAAAAATATTAGATTTTTTTTAACAAAAAACATTACAGGTTTTTCTTTGGATTTTGTAACCCCATCTAATTTTATGATTTCTGTATTTAATTGCTAATTTCACACATTTTTTAATAATTTTTTTCTATTTTCAAAATAACTCTCACTTGATGCAAGTTCCAAAACAGTATTTTAGTATAACATGCTGATTTGGGGTTTTTTGGCTCCCTAGCAACAGTTTGTGTTGATCTAATTCAGTGAATTCCCCCTCAAAAAATGATTTTATAAAAGCGCTCGTTCTGGGCCCCTGCTCACGTAATAGTTACTTCCATAAAGAAATAATTTTATTTGTGATTTTTGCACATTTCATTGGAGAAAAGGAAATTAATCCACTCATTCATTTGTTCTGCATTCAAGCAGCCCTTATATCCACTATCTAAAGCCATCCCAACTACCTAAGACCACTAATCATCACTATACCAAACTGATTCAAGTGGTAATATGTATATGGCTTCTATTTTCTCTTCCCCTGTCTTTATTCATACAACAATCAATTTTTAAGTGAGCCAGGATACCAAGATGTAGTCTCTAGAAAAGATTCAAGATGAAACACACTTCATTACTGCCCATAAAAATGTTAAATGCTGGTGTGAAAATTACGTATTTTCTAGAGGACATATATTCTAGTAGGGAATGTAGATAACTACATAAATAATTATACATGATGGAGGTACAGATAAAGGACTCTGTTAGTTCTAAGGAGTAAGAAAATGCTTTCACCTGGAGAAATAAAAGCCTTCGTGGAAGTACAATTCAGACATGCAGAGATGTGAAGACATTGCAGGGAGAAGAAACAGCATAAGCAGAAGCAGAGGTAGGAAGCAAAAGTGTGTAAAGAACCAGAAGTTCCTTTTCTTAAGTGCCAAGGATGAGTGGGAGGGAATAGTTCTGAATATGATCGGGAAAGTTTCTTAAATCAGATTATAGAGTTCAACAAATCTGGCCATCTCCTGGAGCTTTTCTGTGTTCAAAATTTACCCATAGACCCTATATTTACCCACATAGCCCATCTGTTGTCAAATTTAGGTATTTGACTGTCTTTCAGGGTAGATTAGTGTTGGGAAATTTTTTTGGCAGAAATGACAACTGATTATAAAACTCATTTTAGAGTTTTTGTTAACTTTCCTCAAAGGATGATTGGAGAATACTCTTAAATATATTTAGGACTGTGATAACTCACAAAATATAAATATTCCTTGAATGTCAGACACCCAGCCACATGAAATGCGGAGTCGCCCTGAGGCAATACAAAAATAAGAAGACATAATTTGCCAACAAGAACTCTGAGCATATGATCCTACTTATTACTAATGAATCTTTCACCAGTCATTTGGAAACACTAAGTTTCTTTTACTAGAACTTTAGGTATTTTTCTTGGTGTCTGACTGGAGCCCCAAATCATGCAATTATGACCATAATTGTTACTTACAAATAAAATAGCTTTTAAGATTCGTTTCACTAAGCTTTTTGAAAATTTCTCTCTAGAGAAGATGCTTCCATTAAATAGTAGTAACCTATCCAGTTAATACACATTATTATGCTAATATGCTTACTTTTTATTCACATGTTATTTTTTAATACCATATCCATGTCGACAAGCCTTGTGCACAAGAGAGTTCTCTGATGAAAGCACAGTACTGATGACACTTCGTCTTCACACTAGATTGCAGACATTTGCTTTGGGGAGTAGGGAGGAAAATATGCCCACATGCGTGACTCCCCCAGAAAAGAAAATAATCCATGTTTTAAAATGGTGTAAACAAACTGCTGATGATTTTTTAAAAGCGAACAAATGTTTTCCTCATTTCTGTTCAGGAATCTCAGTCTTTTCTTTGTAGATAGAATTCTAGCACTTAGGCACTCAAGAGAGAGAAAGGACAAAGTGATGATTTTATATTCTTCTTTCTTTTTGACCTAACTCGGTAAGAGAAACTGGGGAAAACCTACCAACCTGTGTGGTACCATCCTTTCTTTATATGGTAACCATGAGAAAATAGGTCCAAGGTAACTCCATGTTGATTTGGGCCCACTTTGGCCAATACCACATTTCACAACACATATAGAATGTGCTGTCATGTAGAACCTCACTCCCTTGGGAATTCTGGAACCTGCATGAATGGGAGAGAGAATATGAGACATAGGCCCATCTAGTTCCATCCATTCACTAGCAAATCAGCACAAATGTGAAGTTAACTACATTGGCAGCCAGACTGCCTGGGGTAAACCTATTAAGGAAGATGAGAAACTAAAATAACAGTTTTCATCAGGTAAAGGCTGGCTACCTAATTCCCATTTTTATGGGAATAAGCTACAGATAAATAGAAAGAGATAAAGAGGGCCAATCTAGTTAATACTTTTTAAAGTCCCTATAAGTGATAAGAATAACAAGGACATATAATAAGACAGTAATTAAATTTAGCATTTGAGTATCTTTGTGTATGAAAGGCAGTATTGTGCAACAGTGATAGCCTATTAAGAATAAATTTCAGGTATATAAAATCAAAGCAGAGCCAAATAAAGTTTATTATAGCAGGAAAAATCTCACTTTCTTTGACTTTAAAACAGTTCAACTTAGGACTGTTGGACTAGTAAGACATTCTACAGTGCCATTTGAAAGTGAATTCTTAGAAATTATAACTTGTCAGTCTTCAATATTAATGCATATGTCTCCCATCTCTTCTGTTTTTCCTCTTATTTCTCCTTTTCTCTACAACTAACTTCACTTTGACTCTTCTTCATCGTGCTTGAGAATTTTTTATCTTCTTGTCTATCACGCCAGAATGTATCTAACACAAATGTCCCATGGAATACAAAGTACTACTCCTCAGTTTCACAAATGGATTTCAACTATTTCTGACTTGTTATAGATTAACTTATCATAATTCAAATTAGAAAAATAGCAGTTAAAGAAACTTCGTAGAAAGCCTATGTTAATATATCTTACAAGTGTTTTAATAACTTAATTGGTTATGCTGCTGAAGTGTAAACCTTATCTATACATCAATCAATGGACATTTCTTGGTATTGTTGCAAAATAGCTGTTTAAAATAAGCGGTAGCTAAACATTTATATGAAATCTCTTTTTAGAGTGATATGGTTTCCTATATGCGATCACCAAATTCCCAGTGTAAAGCAAAACCCAATTTTTTCTTCAGCTTCCTCCTGCCAGGTTTTAGTTTTCACTTCCTCTGGCATTCTGGACAAAGACTTTGAGTGTCTGAGTGGTCGTGATTTGGGTGTTTTTGGTTTTTAAGATAGACTCTTCAAAATACTATAAGACTCAATGACAATTTTAAAGAAGTTCCTAAAGATCAAAATATCATTTTTCTAAGTGTTTTATCTCTAAGGATTAATTAAATGAATCGATTAAAATTAGTAGCCTTGATTTGTTAAGGTGATTTTTCTCTAATAGGTATTGCAAGGACTTTCTGTGAGTTTTATAAGATTTGATTGAATTCACTTAATTGTTTGAGGACAGCACTATTATAAATGAAGTCCTTCCTCCCAAGGATCACCCCTCTTCGTCCCAGTTTAACTTTCCCCACCACACAGTGGATTCTTTTATGGACAGACAGTTAATGGCCATGTGCATGTTCATGTCAGGCCCTACTGACTAGACTGACACTAGGCCGCCTTTGATGAATTCAGCCAAGTGGAGAAGAAAACTGTAGAGCTATAAAAAGATGGCTATCTTCTAAGATATCCCCACAGAACCAGTTGATGTACAGGGCCTCCCCAATGAAGGAGTCTTTGAGTGACCTGTTGCACCACTACAGGCATTATTGCATGTAGGCCTAGCCCATAATTCTGCAAGAGGGCTACTTTCCTTTTTTTACAGATTAGGCTCAATGGTTAAATGAGAAAGCCAGGATTTGAGCCCAGTTTCTTTACCCCAGATATACTCTGTGATATCACATGAATTGTTTTTGTTTTCTTCTGTTATTATTCCATATTGACCTGGCCACACAAAGGAAAGGACTCACCAAATAGAACACTGAAGTACAAAGGCTGTTTTGAGTGTTCTTTCCCATACAATTAGAGTGGAAGGTCATTAGGAGAATCAGGTCTATTAGCTAAATTTTTTCCTCAACTCTAGTAAGTCTATATCAAACCTATCTTACTGTAATATTTATTCATTTTTTTTTTATTTCTTTTTAGTGGAACTGGATCACAGAATTGATTTTGAACTCAGAGAAGGCCTTGTGGAGAGCCGCTATTGGTCAGCTGTCACATCACATACTGCCTATTGGTCATCCTTGGATGTGGCCCTCTTTCTTTTAACCTTCATGTACAAACATGAGCACGATGATAATGCAAAACCCAACTTAGATCCGATCTGAACTCTTGAAGGACATTAATAATGGCCCCAAACTGATTTTCTTCTGTTAAAATATGTGTGTCAAGATATGGAAATTTCAGGTTTAAGTATGTTTCAGTTTTGTTTAGGGCAAGAAATATTTTAATTTAAAAGCACTTTATTTTATTTTTAAAACTTTTTTTTTTTCAGTCCGAAAGAAGTTATTTTCAGTTTTCATCATTATAATTATGAGTCTAACAGAACCCCCTGGAGAATCAAGCAAGACCTGGAAATAAGGAAGGTTTGAGTGAACTGCAAGGTTATAAATCACAATCTAATTTCTCCCAAATATAAAGGCATATTAATGGGTTGAATCTAATGTATTAACCAAAATATGTTACAAATCTAAAATGGTCAAGGTCTAGTGTATTCTATGTAAAGATCCCAAGATGGCATCATTGTTTTAGATTTCTATGAAAGCCTCCATTTCCACAGTTCCTTTAATAGAGTATAACAAACGTAAAGTGTTTTGAATTTAACTTGAGAAGAACTAATGCTAAAATACAAACAATATTTGAACTACTGTATTTATAATTTATTACCTCTGACCAGTTGCTTTATTTCAATGTATGAAACATTACTTTTTTTAATGTTTCCTTTGAACAATTTAAGAACCACATTTTTTTCCTATAGTGTTAAGATCCTTTTTTCTCAGAGCTTCATCTTTGTACTCTTCAGATGAATATATAGACACTGTGGCATACTTTGAGTATTTTTTTCATCAAAAAATTTTAGTTCCACACAAGTTACACTAGTTCAATTATTTTGGAAAAATAGGAACTTTTTATTATGTCACATGTACCTCAGAGCTAAAATTTTCTAAACTCAACACAAAGTACTCCATAATGGGTACAACTCATTAACTATGGAAAATTTAGTACATCTTTGGAGTAGAAAATATGACAACTTTTAAATATATAAACATCTATGTGCCAAACATCATATATAAAGAGATAGAGTGCCACTAACAAATTTTCAAGTGTTTAAGAAAACATCATTGAAACATAAGGCACAATAGATCAGGATTTCTAGGCATTGGAAGAGTTTTCCTCAGCTGTAATTATTTCCACAGTGCTTTTCATCTGAGGAGCTCAAAGTGCTTTAAGAGTCAATAATCTATGTAGTAGCTCCTTGAGGTAAGTAAATGAGTGTTATTCTCACGTTACATGTTAATATATTAAGGCACTGAAACAGTTAAAGTGCCTTAAATTAGATTACAAAGCAAGTCAGAAAAGCTCAGACTGAAGCCAGACCATGTTCTTTTATATGCCATTTAGTGACTAATAATTCACATTACCTCTTAGTAGTTTGCAAACCATAATAATAACAGAAGTTGCGACTCATAATTTAGAGAAATGACTGTGAAGCCAGTGTTTTACCTTGCTTGTCTTATACATTCTTGGGTTCTCACACACAAAGGAGTTACTTAGAGGGAATCAGTAGCCATCTCTTCCACAACCAACCCTCACTTCTGAGTGGCTTCCACTAGGTTCCACTTAAGGTGCTGGCTTTGCTTATCTTACAAGGATTTTTCTTAGCTTCCCAGTAATCGTCGTCAAACTGGGTATGAAGTTGGTTAGTCGCACATCTCACCTACTCCTTTCTTTACAAGAGAGTGGAATCTGTGGCTTACTTGTAGGTTTTACTCAGCACCATCAGTCCTCTTGTCTGTTTTGGCCTTTTATTGGATTTGCAAAACATAAAGCACTTCTTTTTAGTGTTTAAAAAGATCCCAAGGCTCCATGACCAAATATGTGTCTCAGTAAGAAACTCTTGCTATAAAAGGCTTTTGATGAGATCTTAGCAAAGCTGAAGCAATCTCTTTTGAATTTAGAGATTCCTGTGAACTCAGGTCATTTTCATACCCTGTTTATTTCATAGGTCCAGTGTAGTTCTCAGGAAAATTAAAACTCATGCAGCCGTATTATTAAAGGTACTTGAGCATGTGTTGCCATGGGTGGTATGACACTCAAACGCCTAAGAGCTTTAAGGAATTCATTCTTAACCACTAGAATGTGAAGAGCCCTTTTTACCTGAGAGGAGTGAAAGTCTATCAAACCTTTTAATTGGACATTGAATAAAAAGAAAATTATATTCCTGTAACTATAGGAATATATCTGCTTCCCTTTTTTCACATTGAGAAAACAAAATCAAATTTAGCCACATGGAGTTTGAGTTCTTGAAAAGAGCAACATTCACAACCCCATTTTCAAATGAAATAAACTGGATTACTGGACAGGTGTTTTTTCAGTTCGTTGCTTCATCAATATAGATGGCGGTTTTGATTTTACAGTACTCTTCTTATTTCCATGCCTCTGCATGTTATCATGGAATGTACTTGTATATACTCAAGTAATATACAGAGTATGTGTAATTCTGGCTTGATTTAGAAGCTAAGTCAGTTACTGAGTAACATTTTGCAACTTTATTCCAGCAAGTACTAAATTGGCCAAAAAGTTCTGTTTTTGATACCATTAAAATTTTATTCTCTATTTTGTGTACACGCTATGATGATTCTTCTGAGTATTGGTCAGATTGTTCAATTTTAATTCAGTTAGGGTCCCAAGAGTAATTTAAACTTAGAATATGGAGAATATTTTGGATGATATTTTCCTTTATTTTTACCTTAAAATTAGCCTTTTGTTCATAACTTTATTTTCGACAGCAATTATGTTTACGTTATAATCCAATATTGCTATATTTTAGAACTTAATTACAAAATGTACTTGGTTTTCCAGGAACTGCTCCTTCATAGGTGAAGTAAGACTGGGAGTCTTATGTTTTACTTCTTTCTATTAAACAGCATCTGTCAGCCTTTGGGACTTCTCACACTGAGCATGTCCTGCGGGAGCCCTCAGACAGCGGCCCACGAACGTTCATTCACATTGTCGTTTCCTCGCTGTGGACCAAAGCGCTCTGGCCTACAAGGCACTTACTTCCCTGACACACCACATCCCAGCTTTGCATTCCCCCGAAGAGCAGACAGAGGAAAAGGAAAATCGTCAGTGAAGGGTCACAGCCAATTCCACCATTCGTTCCAGTGGGTGGTACTTGAGCCCCTGAAAGTGGAATCAAACCAGAGCTAGAGATTTCACTGTAAGGCGAAAAATAACATAATTGCTTTCCGATTAATTAGGTTGGTTAATATTTCTGTCTTTTCAGCTACTAAGGCATTTGGACAGCTGAGAAAACTAATTTGAGTGTACGTCTTGAACTTATTTTTAAATAATTTTTTGTTAGCATGAGAATGGGATTAAAGAGAAAATGTGATATTAAAGAAAGGCCCAGACAGAGATAAAAAGAGGATGGTAACAATCATACACTGAAGAAAGAACTGGAATTTGACTAAACTGTGGGTAGTTGACTGCTGCCGTTATCCTCAAGTTGTCTCTTATCCACATATTCTGCTGTCATCCCAGGGCCTCAAGCCTCTTCCAGGAATGGGATGGTACTCTGGCTGAATCTGAAACACATTAATAATTTCTGTGGTTATAATAATTTACCTACATAAAAAACTTTTGCTGTACCTACAAAGAGCACATTTGGCAGGAAACTCCACTGAACTTTTAACTCAGTTACCTCTAGGATGGGACATGTCAATTTTCCATTCTGGTGACAAATGAGAACTCGGTAGGGAAACAAGTTGTGCGGTATAAAAGATTTAATATTTCATTTCTTGCCATAGTGTTGGTATATTGGCCTTTTATCAATTCGTGACAAGTAGGTCCCTTCTAAAACCATTCCAACATAAATTAACTAACAGAAATTAAAATTTTTAAGTACTATACTTTTTGGAGAATAGAAGAATTTTTGCTGCTAGTGTCTGTGTGTGTGTGTGTGTATGCGCGCGTGCTCCAAAAATAGTCTCTTGGCAGATCATAACATGAACTTTTCCTCTGCCTTTGTGTTTGAATAAGGGTGGGAGTGTGCTTAGTATTGTCTGTTACCTTATGGTTTTTCATTTATACGTAACAGGGCGCAACTTGCTTCCTCCACACCCTACAGTTGTCAGGATATGTTGGGAAGCTGTTCTTTAGGAAGATTACATCTCGTCTTCTGTTGGAGTAAGATTAAAAACAAGTATATTAGTACTTCACCTTTAATGCTTTCTCCTAGAAGACATCAAATATGAGCATCATTCATACCTTTCCTTGACTGCACTCGTACCCACTACCATCTCTGCCTGATCTCTGAAAATAATCTGTGAGCTTTGCGTTATAAAGGTATAACCATTTTCTGGTTCTAAAGCTGTCATAATAAAACCAAACTCTGCCAGTAAGAGTCCGGGGAGTTTTTTGCTTTTTGCTCTGAGGTACACTTCTCAGAAGCAGCCAGTACAATGACTCTCCTGAGACCTTTAAGATGTTTTCCTTTTATTAGCTTCTATGACCTCTTCTGTTCACTCTCCCTTACAGTACTAAATGATTTCAATGACTAGTAACAGCCAAGAAGGTGGCCTTTTTCTTTGCCTTTATTACCTCTCATTTTGTCAAGGCAGGTTAATTTTCTCATAATCTTCCATTTTACTGAAGGATTATTCCTGTTTTGTCTCTGCAGTGATCAATTTGGGTGATAAACATAACTTTCATTGTCTAGTTTTGATTTTTTTCTCAATTGGAACTAGTGCATGCACATTGAATAATTTCAAGGTAGTGGGAGGTAAAGGTAGTTTTCTCCTGGATTATACTATGTTTCTCTAGCTAAATTGTTCCATTCATATCTCACTCTTGTGCCTTATAGTAAACAACCTCAAAAATAGGCCATTCTAAGCATTCCTGGGAACATAAGCCTCCTGATCCTGTACAGTTTAGTTATTATAGCAGTTACCTGTTATTTCTGTCTGCCCAACATCCTATTTCTCCTTTTGGGTCCTCTCCCCACTATCTCTTTATGAAATACTGCCCTAGCCCTGCCCACTCTATATGGTGCTGATAGGGCTGCCAATCCAATAAAAGCTTCCTTGCAACCTTCCCCACCACTGGTTAAAATTCTTTTCTGCTTTGTATAAGTCTCTATTAACACAACTCAGTCACAGTATTCTCTCTACACTGGCCAAGTGATGGATAAATGACTCAAGTCAGACCATATTTCCTGCCCTATGAGCCACAACGATTAGCCCAGAGATAGGCACATGACCCAAATGAGACCAAGCAGAGGCCTGCCATAAAGTTTTATTTGTTGGCCCTGAAATGCAGATAGCCTTCTACGGCTCAAATATAATCCAGTGTCACGTGGTGTAATATGAGCATGGAGCCATCTGTGGCCAGCCTATTAGAAGGAAGTGAACATGGCATGGACAGGGCAAGGCTCCCTGGAGAACCGAAGCACATGGCCCCGCCTCCACGCCCCAGATTGCCCAGTACACTTTCATTTGCTTAAGTTATTTTGAGATGTGTTTCTGTCTCTTAGATCCAAAAGAGCTCGAATTAATAATTATTTCACCAAAAATAACTTCTGTATCTCTAATGGAAATTATGATTTTGAGGACAATGCCCTGTGAAGTCTTTCTTCCATCATCTGGTTGAAATTTAGAACTGTTGATGAGCCTCTGTCATAGTCCATTTGCGCTGCTATAGCAAAAACAAAACAAAACAAATGGGTGGCTTACGAACAACATTTCTCACAGTTATGGAGACTGGGAAGTCCAAGATCATGGTACCAGCAGATTCAGTGTCTGGTGAGAGCCTGCTTCCTCTCTGATTGCCATCTTCTCGCTGCAACCTCACGTGGCAAAAGGGGCAAGGGATCTCTCTGGGGTCCCTTTTGTAAGGGCACTAATCCCATTCATGAGGGTTCCACCCTCATGACCTAATCACTTCCCAAAGGCCCCACCTCCAAACTATCACACTGGGGATTAGGTCTCAACATATGACTTTGGGGAGACATTCAGCTCATAGCACCCCTCGTCCCCCCCATTAACAATGTTGGCCTCATAGTTGCATTGGATTCATTTTGCCTTGATTTGGGGTTTGATTACAGGTCGCATTCTCGCTTGCAAGCTCTTCAAAGGTAGGAAGCATACCTTAATTATCATTGGATCCTCCACACGGTACCACATTGTAGGTGCTTAAATTTATTGAATTATGTATATCTGGACTGTTACTATGTGATTCTAAGTGCTAAGAATAACCATGAATTTAAAAATGTAAAAATTCTTTTTTTCATGGAGTTTACATTGCAGTAGGAAAATTATGTGAACAAAATTCATGGGAATTGATGAATCGGGAGAAGCCTTGAGAAAAGGCAAATCTTCCGTACCTGGAACCAAGAGGCTCAGACAAAAGAGACCTTGCTTTTTCCACAATCAAAGAAAGCAAAATTAATAGCTCCTACGATACAGCAGAAGAGTATGAAGTGTATGTCAGGACGAACTTGAAAATAGAACTTGAGTGTACTATTTTAAAAGACTGATTGTCGTATTAACCTGTGCCAAAAGAAAACGCCTAACTAGATATTTATAATTACGGGCACTCCCCAATTTGTACCCCACAGTAACTCAGTGGCAGTTTCCTACAGAGATCAAGAAGTATTTTCTTCTTGCCGTATGCTGTTTCCTAAACATAACAATGCATGCTCACATCTCTCTATCTTTGCACTTGCTGTCCCCCTCATCCCAGAATTTCTTCTATTTTTTTCGCCACTTATTGAACTTCAACTTGTTGGGAAGTCAGTAATCACCATTTACAATGGGGGGGAGGGAGGGCATTCCCCATGCTCCTTTAATTCCTTCCATCTGCAGACTATTTTCTGTCTACAGACAATAATTTATGATTTACCCTCCCCGCAACTAAAATATAATGGAAAGGAAAACACTCAGAGGAGAAAAAGATGGGGTTTATGGGAAACGATAGTTGGTCAATTAATTTGCTTTTGTGAGAGACGCTATAAGGTTTTGCTGTTTTGTTTATAAAGAAGGTAATGTATTCTAAGTTGGAAATAGCTATTAACCTTGGGACTGCAACTTTTTTGGAGGCGAAAGACCACAGTTTGTACCTATATGTAAATGTACCCCAAGGTCAGTCCTTACACAAAATTTTTGCCTCTGATGTTTGGCCACATATAGTACTAAAGATAATTTCTGTGGGAAAGGATACCACAGCAGAGCACAGGGGAAGGGCTAGTCCGGGAGGTAGTGTTGACACAGGCAGTGTGACAGTTACATAGGCAGCAGGAAGGACTGAGGCATCTTGTTTGGGGGCTATGTGAACTGACTCCTCATAGTAATACCAAGTTGGAGAATGCTCGTTTCTGACACATCGAAGCCTGAGAATTTTTCTCAACCAGATATACGGTTGTAAAGATTTGCTACTACCACACATTTCAAAGGTTTCTCTGCTGATTTTTTTCCCCTTTCAGCTGTAAAAAGATTTAAGGCCACATCTATATATATAGTCATATATGTATGTCTATGTGGAAGCTTACTAGCTCACCAAATTTATTAAATCTTCAATCATGTGACTTTTATCAAAATCATTGTTAACATTTACCAGTTTGCTATCTATCCAGCACTGTTCTAGATGCTTTAGAAGTATTCCCTCATTCAATGGGCACAGTACCCCTGTGAGGTAAATACTGCTGTGAGGCCTTATTTTTCAACAAGGAAGCAAGCAAGACACAAGTTTAGGTAAACAGACCCCGGTCACACAGCTATGAGATGACAGTGCAGCAACTCTGGATGGATGCTTAAACCTGTGCTTTGCTGCCTCTCCTAGCGAAATCTGTGGCAAAGCATTCTACATGGGCCTCAGAACCAGACTCCACATTAATATCTGTAGGCGGAGGCCTGGGACTTGTAACTCAGTCAAAATCTAGCTTACTCCCCTGCTTATGATCTCGATTGTTAGTTCACACACACACACACATGCACACACAGTGCTTGCAAGTGGGATAAAAATGAGTATATTCCATGAAAAGAATAAACCAAGGTGATCACGTCCTGCTTTGCTTCCTTTAGGGCTCTGGGCAGAATGACTGATGTCTTGGCAAGTGAGTTGCCCAGTGACTGTAATCTGATTTGTATTCCATTCAGTACAAACAGCAGCTAAATAGTCTCACCCAGGAGTAAAATAGTGGTGGGAATAGTCAATCCAATTCCCTGGGTTTAAGAAGGCTGAAGAAATCCTTCATGGTAATCTGTCATAATCGCCCTGGAACCACATTTTCAATGATATGAAGTCTTTTCCAGAATTCAGACCCTGAAATATTCAGACAGTTCTTTAGCATAATTAATATGTATACAGGCACTCTGGTTCTTAGGTGTACGGCAGTCCCTAAAGAAATGAAAAATTGTCATCAAAAGAAACTAGAATTCCCTTTAGTTTAAATCATGTTTTACATTTCGCTGAGAGGCTTGTCAGACTCAGATTTTCACTTATCTGAGATTTGTTGAGTTCTGTAACTACAGAATTTACTAATACTTAAGGCAAATTTTTTAAGACTTGGGAGCACAGTCATGTTTGTAAAAAATATTCCTCATATGACTTGGTTGAGACAAATTCTATTAATAAAAGGAGAACCATGAAATTTGTGTTATGTCATTTTTTCTAGACTTAAAAATGCTCTCTAAACTTTATACGCCATATGCCTAATTTACAGTAACAATTTTCTTTTGCAGCCCATTTTACCTCACCTTTAATTTCTCATATATAAATGGTTAATATTTATAGCCTAAGGTATTGCCATTATAGTGGGGATAAAAGCCAAGTGATATGCAACACCATCACACCATCGTCGTCCTCTGTTCAGAGAGGTCTAATTTCATGATTTTGGCAACACTCTTCATGCTCAACAAACCAGTAAGATCATTGAATCAAATAGCCCACTCACGGCTCATCTTTATACTTTTACTTGCTAGATTCTACAGCCTGGTCTCTGCCTTGGTAATTAAATATTTCATCATCCATACGCCTTTAACTTCATTCCTTAAAACTTGCCCCACATTTTTGCTGTCGGCCTTTGTCCTACTTTTTGGTATGTCACTAAACAGGCTGAGCATTCAGTAAACTATGCTAGTCGGATTCTTGCATAACATTCTAGTTTAGAACACAGTAGTCTTT